AAGACCCAATCGACTCACGATATCTCGAGCTTTCAGATTTGATATTGAATATCTTGAAAAATTGCCCCTCGCTTTAATAGGAAAAACAAAACATTGTATTTTTAAAACAGTCTAAAACTATTAAGAAACTTAAAGAATGATTGATGATTTAAAGTTTTTGTTTATGCATCGCTTGTCTCTGGACCGATCTTGTTGTTGGGTTTACTGCGAAATGCCATGAATCAGTGTTTGTAACGATGTTACTAAAATCATCAGCCTTTAACACAATCTCAAATTTTAGTTTGATTAATTACGCAGTGGCATAAAGAATCCTATTTAGCATAGTCACAAATTATACGTAGAAGGAAAAAAAATACGTACACGCGTTAGAAGTTATACTTCTTTGGCTTCTTCTTCTTTTAATAATAATTTTCTTCGAGCACTTGTCCATTTTAATGGTCACTTTCAATCTAAACGATATAATATATACTAATAATGATATTTTACAATAAACGCTATGTTTTTATCACATTGGAATGGGTTTTCTCGTATAGAAATCATTAATTTTGTTTAAATAAACACGACTCTGAAAAACACTACGCCATGACGGACAATGCAACTTGTCGATAAAACAGAGCAAGCGCCAACTAGCGGCCCAGACTGTTTTACCGACGTTTGAACACTTGAACAGATATTTAGGGTGTCGGATTTTTGTGACGGTGTGCGCGCGCATCGTAAAAATTTGCCTAACGCGTCAAAAGAAGTATTACTTCAATAAAAAAAAATATTGGTCCAGGGCTTGGACCTCTAATAATTCATATGAAAATATTTATTGTTGTTAATTATCTCATTATCAACATTTTAGTGCATTTTTTATTTTTATACGCGGTTGAAACTGTCCTAATGTCGCTGTCAACCAAGTAGTCTTGCTGTTAGAAGTTACGGCAAAGAACGCGACCGTTTCATACTTTTAAGTTAATAATATTATTATTTTAACATTGAAAACAATTCGCTAAACTCATTGTTTTCGTTACATTGTTTTGGTCAATAATATTAGTTTAGTTATATCATTGATAACTTGAACGTCATAAATGATAAGGAATAAACAACATTCAGATGTCGTAGCGTTGGAAACATTCCAAAACAGCGTGGCTTGTTACAATTCCTAAAATAGAATCAGGTAGGTATTTTAATGCGACCTATTTGCTTTTAGACAAGATTTTAATGGTTTTTACTACATTTTAATTTGAAATTAGCTGAGGCCGTAGATAGTTAGATCTCTAATTACAGAAATATCTACTTTACTTTTATACTTTCTAATGAATTTTTCTTTGACAAGAATTGATTAAGTTCTTACGAAGTTTGTAGTGTATTTGTACTTTAACTCTAAAAAATGCGTTGGAGCGCCTCTACTTAAACTATGTACAATTGCATATACATCAGCTCCAAAGCATTGTATTTTCAACATATTATGTATGTATAGGTATGTTTTTGACGTTTATATAAAAAACTCAACGTTTTAATAGCTCAGTAAATTAGAGGAAATTGCTTCTTATTTAAGGTAAAATAAAACAAATACAGGAAGTATTAGTTGCGCTGTAAGTCGGCCATCCTCAATAAACAATGCGGATCTAATAATAGAGGGCGTTAGACCGCTGGATCGAAAAATAGAACGCAAATGTAGGACACAAGCGCGCTTGCGCATCGTATAGCCGCAGCTATGCTAACGCGCACGTTGTCATGAAAATATAACTCTAATTTTGATGAATGTCTTCCTTTGCCATAGCTATGACTTCTATGATCTCGGTTATTCCAATATAAGAAGTGGCCACCGTTGAATGATATTTTATAGTGTAAAAAATCAGTACAATAGTTGCTATTTGTTAAGATTTAATGATTATTTAAATTTTAAAGATGTGCAATACGCAAGGTTATTTCGCGGAAAGTCTACGGATAGCAAAATTGATCTGACCTTGCCTTGAAAAATTCCTTCCGCAACATTGCATTATTTCGCAGAGTAATTTTTAACATTTTTATAGCATTTTAAATATGACAATTAGATTTGCATATTTGTAATAATTAAGTTTCTCAAACTTGACCAACATTAGCCATTGTTGCTGCTCAAACATCTAGATTCTAGATCGATGATGTAATATAATATTTCCCGTGGAAGCTGATGAATTTGACAATTGACTACAATCTAAAATGTCAAGTAATAATTGACGTATCGATTATTAGTTTATTTATTAAATGTAATCATTATTTTATACATAACACTTCAGTAGATATACTTCGATTCAATGGTTTAACCAGATATATTTTACTAAATGAGGCAAAGTGCCAAGAATATTTATCGGACTGAGATACAATGTCTTTGCACGAATGTTAATTATTATTAGCTCTTCGTATCGCAATTGAGGATATAGATAGCAAATGTCAAAACACGCGCGCAATTAACATTCCCGATTTCTTTTTAAATGTTGTTCTGCAATACTTGTGCTAGTGTTACCTCATTGACTTACATACATATCACATATATATACAAAATCTATGATTATATTATTGGTAAAGTGGGCTATCGTTCTTATTTATCTATTCTGTGGTCTTAGTTGTTTATGTTGCTAGTAAAGTGATTTATTTTTAAAATAAATCCCATTTTTACAACAAGAAAATTTAATATAGTATTTCTTAATCGTATGATTTGTGATATTGTTTACATTGAACATTCTTAGTATACGGTGACTAATAGTTGTAACGATGAAAAACGTCACCCAATTTTCCTCGTATATTTGCTTATTGATTTAATCGCCACCCCACAAATCTCATATTAAAGGGAGACAGACAGAATAACCATGTTATGTACGATCCCCTTTGACAATTATTCTGAGGTTGTATTGCAATACAAGATTAATTAGATAACTATTTTTTTTATATGCCAAAAGACTCATCTGATGCCCGGGTCTTGTTTGTATTGAAAACATTGTTTGTATAAGACGAATAAAAAAAACAATTAAAACTACATTTATAATAATATATAATAATCAAACCATAGCTTAAAATCTGTTTTGGTTTTTGAAGACACTCGGTAGATGATAAAAAATTAACTCTTGAAACTCGTATAGGATAATAAGAAATTATTTAATCTAAAATATGCCAATCGTGTTTAGATAAGAATGTTTGTGTAAAATATTTATAATTCAGGTGGTTTCGCGCGCTTTGGGGGCAATGACCTACAGCTGTATTGTGTCATGTACGTAAATAGCAGACACATATTGCTCGAATAGAAAGATATACTTAACGATAGTCAAAGCGCATGTAATATATTATATATAATTTATAGTTACACATATAATAATTTAAGCTATTTAGGATACTTTTAGTGCATAGAGTCGAGAATCCCGGACAACATACATGAATCAGTGGAAACTGTTACGATTTTTATTTTCCCCTCTATTTACAATTGAGACTTTTGTAAATAAAAATTATATGTTACAATAAGTTAAATTATAGGTTTACAAACAATTTATACGATTATAACTGACGCGTATTGATATATTTTTATTAATGATTTCAGACGGAGTCTTTACGAAGAACGGAGACATGAATGTCAGGGGTTGCCATTCTCATCAACCAGGATAGGCAAGGTAATATATAAATATTTTGTAGCTTTACACGAGTTTTTCGGTGGCGGTGGTTGGAGGGATGTTCAAATAAATGAAACTCTTTGTTTGAAGCTTGGTGTCAACTGGCTTTTATCTTTTAAGACATAAACTTATAACTAACATAAAATTAGGGGTAGTAGACTTATAGACCACAAGCCCATGAACAAAAAATACCTGTGAAATGACCCAACGTGAATTACGCTTAGAAGGCTGTTACTAGCTCTGAAAATAGCTCTGAGCACTATGCCGTCATTTCTGAGCGGTACATGTGAGTACGTGAGTGAATGGACTTTCTCAGGTACAATTGGGGAATTTCGACTAATTATTAATGTACGGCTTTGTTATAAGTGTATAGATGATTAAAAATAAATGTCGAAAAACTTAGTGCCGTACTAAAGTGATGGTACCGGAAGTCGGTGCAAATTTTTAATTCGACGATAGTTGCAGGAGCAATATAGGTCATTTATTACTTCCGGCACCATCACTTTAGTACGGCACTAGGTTTTTCGACATTTATTTTTAATCATCTATACACTTATAATAAAGCCGTACATTAATAATTAGTCGAAATTCCCCAATTGTACCTGAGAAAGTCCATTCACTCACGTACTCGCATGTACCGCTCAGAAATGACGGCATAGTGCTCAGAGCTATTTTCAGATAAAGTAACAGCCTTCTAAGCGTAATTCACGTTGGGTCATTTCACAGGTATTTTTTGTTCATGGGCTTGTGGTCTATTACAAATAACTAACTTGACTTATTTAGGGTTCTGAAATCTAAGTGACACATCTGTTACCTATTAAGAATATAAGCGTAGTCGATCTATGGGACATTCTCGAAAACGAGAATGTTTTAATACAATTTATGAGTGTATGAAAAACTAAACATTATTACTAAACCGACGTTTTACAATTTACTTAATTGTACGATGATTGCTAACATTTGCTTTGCGCTTCTAATTATTAACTAAAATATATATGTAACTTATCGAAAATAGTTTTTGTTGTCTAATACTCACCTAATGAGTTCTCTGATTGTTCATGTTACCAAAATGTTTAAAATTAAATTGTTATTTGTAATCAAAATGGTTTAGTACGCTTTATGATTTCCGTACCGTTCGTGCATTAATAATATTATAGTATGCGTATTGTGCGTGAGGTTTTCGTTGTCGGTGGCGGACGATGAACCGGGAGCGAAGAACGCTCAAGGACACCCGACGGCTAACGAACCCATCACTCGTTTTATGTACTAATTTTGCTATTTAATTGCGATCAATATATCACGAATTTAATACATTATTCCAATACTGACGTAAACAATTATCATTTCCAGGTTTCCAGTGGAAACAAGGATCGGATTATGGATGGTTCGTTCAACAATGTTATTGAAGGGACGCGCCAATATTTTATGGGAGTGCCTAAAGCACAAGAAGGATCCGGTCAGTCAATGTGGCCATCGGGAACTCCACCGGAAGAGGGAACTCCAGCAATGTCAGGGGCACCAGCGCCGTCGTCTCGTCCACCGTCTGCGGCAGCAGCGCCGCCTTCCACGCCAACACCGACACCAGTGGTGCCGCCACGACCTCCCTCTGAGCCCATAGAACCGGAACCTCATATAATACACAAAGCGACGGTGATGAGAGAGGCTGCGGAAAAGCGCCGGGAGCAACCAGACCTTGAAGATGAGGAAGAGCCTGTCGGGGCCATTTCGCCTCCTTCTCATATCATACGTAAACCGACACCACATACCTTACCATCACCGGCGCCAGCACCTGCGGCTCCTTGTCCTTCCCCTGCAAGGCCGCCATCGTCACTTCCAATTCAGCAATGTCAACAGCCGGAGCAGCTAGAATCTCCGCAATATCGAGCTTCACTGCATCAAGTGCAAACACCAACTCCGCGACCTATAGAAGACTTCTCTTCAGGACGCCCACCAGACCCTTACCCACAAAGTAGACCACCTGAAACATACGCTCGTTATCAGTATGAGTCTTCAGCTCCAGACAGTAGCAGAAATTCTCATGGACCTCCTGTTCCTTCGCCGCAGCCGTCTACGATTCCGCGTCAGAGTCCGCAGACATACGCGCGTATTTCGGGGACCATGACACAGCATTCAGTTCATCGGTTAAATGAAGCTAATACGTCTAGTCCTCCTGCGCAAAGGTATTCTATGCCACCTCAAGCGCCGCCTCCACACAACGATCGGGTTCCGCCTATTTATCATCCACAGGTCCTACCCCCTACCAAACGAATATCAACATCTGCAAGTGTGTATGCATCTTTACCTCACAGACGCGAACAATCAACATCCATTTCGCGTTCAGCATCACATTTTGAAAGACATGCTTCTCTTCCGCAAAGAAAGTATGATCCCCAACATACATATTCTGGATATCGGCCTGGTTCTGCTTCGTTGCAACATAACATGGCAAACCATCGGATGGACCAACATCAAGCCCTACCGTACAAACATAGTGTGCCAGATTCCTTAAATTCACACTACACCTCTAGATCTGATCGTAGTTCAGCACCTATTCAGCCACATCCTCAGGATCCTCTTAGAATTCAAACAAGAATGGACTATATAAGCAAAAATGGATCAGTAGATACAAGAAATAGTTACCATTATCCTACACCCTCGACATCATCGTCGAGATATCATCCTAGTCCATCAGTACCAGTTGTGCAACAAAATTCAGCGACGTCCGTAAGGTCATCTTATCGGCAAGCAGTTGCTCCAAAGAGTAATTATTCGTATCCTTCCTCAAATCATACAAATATGCAAACATCGCCGTCTCGATCTGCGATTAAGTCAAGCTATCCAAATCAGCAAACACGTATGACGGTGTCTGTGACGTCCTTAGTGAATGAATTGAATCTAACCAAACAAAAGCGAGAATCGCCGTTAGATCTTTCGGTAAAAACAGTTAAAAATTCAGCAGATTCTTCCACAACTCAAGACGACGCCATAGATTCTGCGTCCATAGAGAATAAATCTTTATCGATACAACCAAGACAACAACTGTCAAATAATAGACATGCTTTAACCGATCGCTTTGTATCATCTCATAAAGTCGACTTTGCCCCAGATTTTGCACAATATAGGGAACGTGTTCGATATGCTACTGCTTCACAACAATGTAATCCACCACATAATCCACCACAGAGGTATAATGTTCCGTATGAAACTTCTCGCCCTATGGGCGAAAATTATCCAGCAGAATCTCGGCAACACGTGTACGCTGAAAGGGCAAAGTATAACAGTTCTTCCATGAGTAGAAATGAATATGTCCCCCGAATCGACTTGACGAGAACGGTTACTGATGAGCGTCTTGTAGACAGTCGAAGAAGAGAGGATGGAAGATTTGAAGAACGAAAACGCACTGCAGGTCCAGTTGTCAGCAACATTCCAGAAAAAATTATGCGTCGTGAGGCGTGGCCGGCTGACACTCGAGAAAGACTAAGTCAGTCAGCTAGGGAACAGCGGGATCTTATGAGCCGCCCGGTATATGACTATACAAGTCATATGTCAATGAAACAGCCTGCACACAGTTACCATGATAGTCGTATGTCTGTCAATCAACCCTATTCCAGAGGAATATACGCAATTGAAAGTTCCAGTAAAGAAACTGCTGATTATCGTAATCATTATCACGAAAGATATGCTAATCGGCACATCATACAAAAAACTTCTCATCGGGACATACATCAGCATCATCTCAATTTGCCCAATGGCATACCACAGGCAGAAAAAAGCAAGGTTCTAAGCATACTTAGAAATAGTTTAGAAACAAGACAATCCGCTTCTTTAGAAAACGTTAAACCAAGCACAATTCCAGATCTTATTGTTATAGACGATGTAGACGATTCTGTTATAGAGATAACTGATTTAACGAAAGAAAATGAGAAAGAAGCTCATAATAAAAATCATTATAGAGTAGGCGGAAGCAAAGAGCCTCCAAATCTTGGGAACCATATTCAAATGCCGAAAGCCGTTGATTCAATACCTTGTGATACAGATTATCAAAAACTAGATAATGCTGACTCTAAGAGTAAATCACCAGAAAACGATGTTGCATCAAGGATTAGAACTAAGGCTGAACTTAAAGTTATGCCACCATCACAAGACTTGGTAAAATTGGAATCACGCCCAAAAGCTACATTGATTAATAATACCGAAAAATCTCTTCCAAAGTCACAGAAGCAACATTTGTTTAACCAGATTCGGCAAGATAATCTTCGGTTAGAATCGGTTGTACTAAACCACAATTTAAATGAGGTTGATATTTCCGAAGTTAAATCGGAACCTATGAACATAGAAGAAATAGAAAAAGACGCCATGTTGTCCATTAAAACTGAAAATATAATTGAAGAAGAAATTCTTAATAACTCTAAAGGTGACGTTGACTCTTTAGATATGGATTGGGCCAGTGCTTGTGATAGTTTTATGGAACAATTAGAAACTGGCAACCATAAAACGAAAGCTAATGCTATTGAAATAGGCTTAAATTGTAAACAAGATATTGAAACAAAAGATGTAACGAATATTAATAAAATAGAAGAATCTGTAAATATTGTAGAAAACTTCACGGACAACACAGCACCTATTATAAATATAAAACAAGAACCACTAGAAGAAGAAGAAACTAAACCTTTGGATGAACTCTCTCAAGAATTACAAGAAACCATTAAGTTAAAAGAAGATAAAATTATTAAATCCAAAAAGGTAGAAAAGTCACTTATCGATAAAGCAATTAAAAACAAAACCTTAAATAAGAATAAATGTAAAAGAAAAAGGGAGTCGACAACTTCATCTCCTATTAAACCGGTCAAAAAAGAAAAGGAGAAAAGTATTGCTATAAAAACAATAATAAAACAAGAGACCGAATCAACTGATGATGACGAACCTTTAATAAAAAGTAAGATTTTAAAAGAAAAAGAAAGAAGTGAACAATTGAAGTACCAATTGCTTAAAGATCTGTCTGAGAAATCGGCTATTGTTAAGCTTGAATGTTGCAATAGTACAAGAATGTCAATAGAGTCTACTCAAACTAAAGATAATGATGACAAACAAATTAAATCCAAACAAACAAGATCGAGTACAAGATCAAAGAGTAAATTGTCTACTGAAAATATTAAGAATGAACCAAATAATGACGAATCTAGCACAGAAAGCGAAGTAGATTCATTAACTCTATCCACTAGACTTAGAACGCGTAAGAAAACTAAAAGTGACGATAAAACAATACCTATTAGTAAAACGTCGGTGAAATCGTCACCGTCAAAAAAACTTGACAACAGTAGTGCTAGTAATAGATCTACTCCTGTGCGAAAATCTGGTTTTGGTGATGGTTCAGATTTCCACCCTGGCTGGGAAGAAGAGCTGTACAGATACAAAAGGTCACTACGCATGCCCACAAGACTGATAGCTATTCCAAGAGGCCGTTCGGATGGCCCATTTGTTAAAGGCACTAATTCACAGTTTCCACGAGGCTCCACGTCTCTGCCGGACTTAGACCCTGTGCCCCTGTCTCCAGCTCCTTCATCGGCTCCATCAGTAGTTACAGATGAATTATACAGACGAGCGGAAAAAACAAACTTGGATAGTGACTTAGAATCAAATTCTAGTTATTCTACGCCCAATAGATTACATTATGATTCGGAAGCTTCAACGTCGACCGTAATATCGACAACAAAACCTAGGAAAAATCGAAGCTCAATTGTAGATGAACTCATAAAGAAGTGTGGTAGTAGAGATTCTTCCAGGAAGAAATTTAAAGAAGACAAAAACCTCAAGATGGTAACGAAATCGTCAAACGTGACAGAACTGCTTCCTACACCAAGTTTAGGTTTAATTAAAAATGGCCACAAGACCAACTTGGGTGGAAAAAAAGAAAAAATATTAGAGGACATATTTTACTTGGGAACTTTCAGAAAAGAAACGGTCACCGCATTTCGAGATGCTTTTATTAAAGATACTAACGGCTTAATCGGTGCGACGGAAGAGTTTGCACCATTGATGTTAAAATCAAGGACAAGGACAGAAAGCAGAGTTTTAAAACAAAGAGCAACTATTAAGGAAGTATTTGGTGATGATAGACCCGCTTCCGCCCCACCAACATCTTGTAGAGAAGAAGAAGCCGAGGAGACAGTTATTGAAGTAAAAAAGGAACCTGAATGTAAACCCAAAATGAAGCCGAAAATCTCGAAAGATAAACTAAAACGACGCTCAAATTCAATTAGAGATGGCTTGAGAAGCACAGCCTTAAAAAGGAATGATGCTAAGGGTCGAATGATGAGGTTGAAGAAGAGAAATAATTTACTCAAAAATATGTCTGGAAAACGAATAAAGGAAATATGTAGTAAACCAAAAAAAGAAAAAAGCCCACTACTTGAAGAGAAAGCAACAACAAAGGAGGAAGGTACTTCATTAATTACTTCAGAAGGCCCTGCAAAGAAACGATTTAAGCGTTTATTTGGAAGAAGAAAACTTAGTTCAGGCTTTGATTATATAAGGAAGAAGAAGAAACCGATTAAAAAGGAAGAAAATGTTAACAAAGTACGCCGTTTGGCTCCGAAACCAAGTCCGGAATCCGTCCATGATATTCAAAAAGAGATTAAAGGCTGGTTCATTAACAAAAGTATTGGAGAAACCCATCTACACCGGGCTGCCAGACTTGGATTTACAGTAAGTTTTTCATTTGTTATTATATTAGATTAGATTCAGTTTAACATTTACAAAATAATAATTATTTCGTTTCGTATCACAAATCTATATCTTTTATAATTTTTTAGAAATCGGTTTAAATTTGTATGTATATAACGATTTAATCTTTACAGGATTGCGTTGCTTACTGCTTAGAAAAGATGGAGTCCGATCCATCTGCAAAGGACAACGCTGGTTTTACTCCATTGCACGTAGCGGCGGCTAGAGGACATGTCAGAATCGCACGATTACTTCTACAATATGGTGCTAATGTTTCTGCTGCAGCACAAGGAGGAATCAGGTATAAATATATATATATATATATACACTTCTATTTTCCCAAGGATATTAGTCTAAAGAAGATAGCAAACTTGGCATATCTCAGGAATGTGTCTGCAACGATGGTATTAGAAAACTTCTGGATTAGGTCGACAGTAACTCAGAGGCTTGTAATATTTGAGAATATAGGTATTAATTTGATATAATATATATTACTATAATTTGACAACTTCGTAATCTTTAATTGCTTGAGATTGAAGTTTGTATTAAGTATTCTCTTAAAGTTATTTAATCAAATATTACATTCACAGGCCCCTGCATGAAGCGTGTGAAAGTAGTCATATAGAAATTATTCGTCTACTACTCTCCTATGGGGCGGACCCACTTTTGGGAACATATGCGGGCCAAACGCCAGAGGAACTGGCTGAAGGTACAGCGGCAAAGCTACTTCGCCTTTACATAGCAGATGTGCAGGGCCTGTCAGTAGACCCCTGGAGATTTCCGCCACCTAGCAAAATTATTGGTAAGTATTGGGGAAGTACGTAAAGCGACACAAAAAACGCATTATTATATTATTTAATAACCCTTAAAGTATAATATATGTATATGTATGTCATGAAAGGTAGCGTGTGAGCTAGAATTGTATGCTGAGACAAACATTTTTTTATTTGTTTCGTACATTTTTTACATTTATCATAACAAATTCTTATTTAATTTAAACTTATTCGAATATTATATTATCATTATAATTATTTTAGATCGAGAAGAGATGGGATGCGAACCCCTATCTTTCCCGCCACCCGCTTCGCCTCCTACCCCTGACTCTACCATAGAGATACAATGCACAGACACCCCTCTACCACCGTTCTATAGTCTGCGGACTGCTACTGGCCAGCCAGCAGATGGTTTATGGTGCCTTTTACAGGATGTAACGAATATCTTACAGGTGACTTACCTATCTCTATTGATATATAAACTAAAGTTGTTAGTTGGTAAGAAGGATTATTCATTTATTTACCTTTTCACTACTACTATTCTCAAATCCTATAGTATTGTCCTAGTATTTAAAAAATAATAAGAAAGAGTCAGCCAAGCTGTCTGCCATTGTCAATATAAAGTAAATACTGTATTTTTTATTTTTATTTTTTTTATAGTTTACTTATAACTGGATTGATGAAAACACTGGACAATATTTATTATAAGTCAAGTAAATGATACATAGGAAAAATTTGTGCCTTAAAAATAATGAATAACGTTTTTTTTACAGATAAAATCAAAGGAGTCATTACTGAAACAGATACATTGCGGGTCAGGTTCACCAAAGGAGCTACTCCGCGAAATAAGAACACAAGAGTTTTTAGAGAGAGCCCAGTGTCACCAACTTCTTTGTGCTGGCGAAAAAGTCAACATACGGGCTTCAAAGGTCGCATTAATACGGGTTACAGATAAACTGAGGCAACTTTTGAAAATTGAGACTATACTTGTCAGCTGACAATAAACATAAATTTAAAGAGCGTCGCTCTGACGTATAACTTTTAACGATACATAACCGTCACATTGTTATGTCAAAAATTTTACACTAATTGCGGGATTCTTTTTTGTTTTAATATGGTCTATGCCCTATGACCATGTTTGAACTAGCACGTAGTAGGTATAAATCTCTGTGTTAGTTTGTTAGTTTCCTAGTTATTGTCAATTTAAAACAATAATTTATTTTTGAACAAATTCGAGATTGGAAGGCAGCCACTATTATAAATTTTTGGTGTAAAATATTTTTATGTATCTTTGTAAATAATGTAAATAAATACGCAGTTGTAAATAATAAATGTCGCTTTAACAGTATGATATTTTAATGGGTGCTATTTAATGTTGGTGTATGGTAAAAGCTAGTTTAATCAGTAGATAAATATGTGAGAATGATAGATATTAATTATTAAGTAGATAAAGAAGTTACCAGAAACTAAATTTAAACTAAGAATCATGTAAGAGTAGATTGTGCAATAAGTCAACGCGTTTTACGTTTAAATAGATCAATTTATAGTTTTTACTGATTACGGAGAAGAATTCACATGGACAAAGATTTGAACAAATTAATTAAAAAATCAATTCATATTAGATATATTGCAAATTTTTCGATATCATCACATTGTTAAGTATTTTTGTTTAACTTGGCTATTCACTTAAAACAGTTATTTTAATGTTTTAGTTATTCCTTTGTGCTAAATTTTTGTTCGTTGTTATGTTTTCCTATTTAATATTTATTAGTTGTCATTACTTATGTTAAATATGGTCCAATAATATAAGAATTATCAAAATAGTTATGCATATCGAAAATATGTTGTACATAAGATAACAAATTATTTTTTAAATTATTTTAAATGAATAAAAATTACCAACAATAAAGCTTGAATAACGTTAATTATCGATACATTTTCACATGCTCAAGGGTTAATAACATATTGGCAATATTGTTCAATGCTACTTGTGTTTGAGGTTCCAGAGAGTATTAATATATTACTGGTTACTTTGTTTAACTTTTAAATTTTGTATGTAGTTGGATGTTCCATAGTAATGTTAAAACCATACATAATATTCCGCCCTAATATATGGAAAGGAAAACTAAGAAGTACACGATTTAACTGTGATGATATTATAAGAGAATGCGCGGATTGTTGATAAACTTACTTTGTAATTGATGTTTTATACAATGGTATACAAGACACTTGTGTAGTTTGTGTAATTACTGTCTGTTTTAGCGATACTCTATGCTGTAAGTATTATAATGATTAATGACACAATATTTCTTGTTGGTAAACAATAAAAAAATAAAAACTAAATAATCTTAATTTGCATTTGTCTTATTTTACCTTATTCCAGCAATTTATTATCATAAATATGACTGACTTATTTTATTTCCTACTGGGTGTACATGAGAATCTATTTAAATCAAGTTATTTCAAGTTGGGTATTAGGTAACTGGCTAGTGGTAAGTTGAGACTGAAACGGAAATGGCTACTATGGCAATACTATTTAACGCTATTAATGCCATAAAAATATTTTTATTTATTTTATCTGTTACAAATGCTATTAAAAAGTTTTCGTCGTCAATCGTACATGAGCCTACTCTACAAAATTGGTACTGAATGAATTGTATCCTAAAGTATTGCTATCTTTGTATGCTTACAAGTTCTGAATCAAACCTTCCCTTTATCGATCACATCGTATATTTTTACAAGAAATGTTTCGTTATTATTCTTAAAACTATCCACCAAAAAGTATTATACACCTAAGGACGCAATTAATATGTCGATAGGCGGAGGACCTACTCTTGAACATTTACATTTAAAATTGCATATTGAAATAGTGTAAACCTCTACCGACTGGGTTTTTAAAGGCTGTTGAAATAAAAAGTTAGGGTATTTAATATTTCAATTCAATTTTTGAAGTTATACTTCTTTAGGCGCGTTATGAAAAATTTATGAGAGTGAAATTTTACAATGCGCGCGCACCCGTGACACAAAATCAGGAGTGTGATTATAGCGTGCGCGAGCGAGATAGGAATAAGACAATCTACAAGTAAAAAGAAATAGAATATGCGTGAAGTTCGTATGCCAACAATTTTGAATGACCATAATGACATTTCTCATTTACCTTTTAAACAAATAAAGGAGTTTTAATTATTTTTTCAAAGAAATTTAGCGATGCTTTTTGAATTATAATCAGAAGTGATTTAAATTGAATATTTAAACCAATACTAATTAATATTTGTGAAAAAACTGTGCTCATCAACCTTCCTAAGTGCTTCAATACAATTGAGGTTAACTATCCGTATGTATTATTATTATTATCGAGTAATGTTTTGATTAAAAAATTAACCACATTGTTTTATCAAAACATGTAATTTTTCTGATTTTATCTAGCAAATATAAGGAAAAGAGACAAAAAACAATTGATGAATCAGTGTAACTGCACTAAATTGAATACAAAAAAAGAGTTTTCATCTTATCGCTGTGAAACATCAAAAACTGGAGGTGGAACAAAGCCAAACTATTTTTAATATTGCCAAAGAAGTATAACTTCTTACGCGCGTACATAAGTACACGGACCCTTTTTTTTTGTATTTATTTCGTTTCATGCCCTTTTTATACTCCAATAATTTATCTGTCATCATAATATAATAAATTCAAAAATCATTTATTCACGTAGGTAACACAATGTACACTTGTGATTCGTCATTAAAGAAATACATATTAATGCTTCTAATTTTACATTTACTGCCAGTTCTCAAATCAAGGGCGTAGAACGGAAGAGAAGAACTGGCAATAAACTCTCCGCCACTCTTTTTAATCGCCATGTTTTTTTACACAACGTTTGTAAGGAGCTGCAACCATTACACCATGTTCCACATGACATCTTAAGTAATTAATAATAATAACATAAATTAAAAACAAAGACTTGTCCTCTATCAGCAGGAGGCATGGTGAAATAGGAGCACGCACTTACATTCTCGTGGGAACAGCACGCAAACACATAGTCGAAATAATTAACATCACCGCATACACGAATTCAAGTACGACCAGTCACCACAAGTAGCACCCGTTCACGAGTATGACGCATGGCCAGCCATCGGCCCCCTCGCCATATTTAAGGGAGAGAGGCAACCCGACGCATGGACGCCGCCACAAGCAATGTCATTTAAGCGAGCATGACGATCCTTGAAATGTGGACTTGGCTACATAAGAAAATAATAATAATACTGAAATAATTTGATACCACATGGATCACGGTTTGTTCCCACTTTACATTAATACAGTCGTGGATGTTGACGATCGCCCCGGAGTCTGGAAATGCAGCAGAGAGATTCAGTCGCGTTACCTATTTATACTGGAGCAACTTATATCCAAGCACTAGGATCGTTTAAATATTCATTCATATTATAATAGGCCTTAGCAAGCAGTTTTACTTTAATGTACGACTTAAATTTATTTATTGACAACACTTGTATCTCACTAGGGATTTTAATTAAAAAAACGTATACAATTGCCTTGGAAAGAATTACTCGTTTTATGCAGCCTTCTGGTTGGTGCGCTAATTTTGTCTTTATTACGAGTACTATAATTATGGAAGCTACTATTCTTTTTAAAAATATCTATATTTTTCCGCACATACAAAATATTCTCATAAATGTATTGACTTGCCAGAGTTAAAATATGTAATTCCTTAAACTTCTTTCGGACCGACTCCCGTGGGGACAACCCACAGATCGCTCTTATAGCCCGCTTTTGCACTACAAATATCGATTTAATGTCAGCTGCATTACCCCACAACGTTAGACCTTCTATGTGTCGGCCCCACTGGAGTTTACTATCTAAAGAAATTCCCAAGAACACCGCATTATCAACAAAGTCTATTTCCTCGTCTTTAATTATAATTTGAGGATGAATACTTTTTACATTTGTAGTTACATATTTATAGTCTATGGTGTAAAAAATATTGAAAGAATATTCCTTTAAGCGGGCCATAGACGGATCGCATGCTGCAGTCAAGACCGCGAATATGAATTTAGTATGGAAACTGCAGATCGCCGTGCGGCGACCGCATATTGCAGTCGGTCTTGACTGCAACATGCGGTCCGTCTATGGCCCGCTTTAATAATAATAAGGCTATACCTAAAACTGTATAGGTAATAAATTGACAACAATAGTTATAGTGCTATGTATACCACTCCTATAACATACTTTTTTTTAGTTAACCAAGGCGGTGCCAATGTTGCCAATTTAGCATAATTTTATGTTGCTCAGCATAAAAACTACATAAACTATTCTCTTTTTCAATATTTAACTTTCATTACTAGATAAAAACTATAATAAAATTATGGTGGTTGTTATATAACTGTGTTTTATTACGTCAGACTAATTACCGACACCGCCTGTTAATCATATAAAAGTTTTATGGGTTAATAGATGCTAATAATGGTATGTTTGTAGTATTCAACTTTTTTATAATCACAAATTATTTAACTGTAAAGCTTTGCATATTTTTTGCCATATTTTCATCGCCTTTAAGCATGTTTAGTTTTATACTACGTTGGTAAGTTGGATGGCAACACTGGGCGGGGCATCGAATAACGAAATAACGAATGTGATGTTTGTGGTTTGTGAGTCGGTTTCATTAATGAAAATTTTATTTAGAAATATATGATAAACGTTTAAACCGACATTTTAGAAATAACTTTCGTATTAGCATATGGACTGAATGTTTTCTTGTGCGGTGATTGTCATGTATTTTATATAGTGATAAACAAAACTTTAACATGAAACGGTTATTGTTTCTAGTGGTTTATGTGTCGTGTCAAGAGCCTCCTTATAATCCCAATTTTCAGAAACCATATCAATCAGACACATATCAGAACGGAACTTCATATCGTCCACCTATACAGGTTCCCTATGGCAGTTTTCCTGTTAATGCCAATGAACATACGTTCCAGAGTTCATTTTATCATGACAGTGGCAATTCAGACACCTACGGAGATGGCGATAATGATGTAGATCCTCAAAACACGGCTTCATATTACGCGGGCTTAGATTACGAAGAGCGATATAAGTGTCCCCCTAATTGGATTCGTTATAGAGAGTCGTGTTACCGATTTACAAAATCTCCGAATAGGCCGCGTAATGAAGGTCGAAAAATATGCCAAGCTTTTGAAGCAGACTTAGTGTCTGTGAATAGCCCTGAAGAACATGGCTTTATAATCACAACACTTATGCGTATAGATCCACAACGTGGCTCTTGGTACGTGGGTGCTCATCAGCAATCACCAGGCTATTGGGCAAATGATGGTGATGGATCCCAATTGTCTGGTTTGGATAATGCATTTTTTGAAGATCGTAAGTTGACTTATATGAGCTATAATTTATTGCCTAGAGACTATTTAGTATATAGATTTTCCCAGGAAGATGGAAGGTGGGGTTTAGCTCCTGTAGAAGGTACTCAGTATTTCCACTTTATTTGTGAAGGACAAACTCAGCGCTTGCATTATTTAATCGAAGAGAAAAGATCTTTTACTTATGGATTAGACACATTTGACCCAGAAAGAATTCCAAGAGGACCATATTTTATTCAAGAGCCAGAAGATACCATTTATGATCCACTTCGTAACCACCATGTACAGTTGTCATGTATTGCTGGAGGGTACCCTTCACCCTCTTATAGGTGGTTTAGAGAAGACTATCAGGTAGACAGCCCAATTTTTACTGAAATAGATCCACTTTCTGACTCAAGATTTATACTGAGTGGAGGATCAATCATAATTTACAATCCAGATGCAGACAAAGATAACGCCAAGTATCATTGTACAGCGACAAATAAATTTGGTACAATCAGATCTGAATCAGTGAGATTGTCTTTTGGGTTTATACGAGAGTTTAACCAAAAAAGATCAGTGGAGAGTGGTAAACAATACTGGGGAAAAGTTATGTATTGTGATCCCCCATCTTATTACCCATCAGTTAATTTCTTATGGGCTAGGAATTACTTTCCTAACCTTGTAGAGGAAGATAGAAGAGTTTTTGTGTCATATGATGGTGGACTTTATTTTTCTGCATTAGAAACTATTGATAGAGGGAACTACAGCTGTAATGTTATGAGTAAAGTGTCAGATGCAGGCAGAAATGGTCCATTCTTTCAACTCCTTGTTTATCCTCATTCTGATTACCAGCAACTAAAATTCCCAAATAATTTCCCTAAAGTCTTTCCCGAAGCACCTGTAGTAGGCCAAGAAGTGAGATTAGAATGTGTATCATTTGGTTATCCAGTCCCATCTTACAATTGGACCAGAAAAAATGGGCCTATGCCCAAAAAGGCATATTTGAGTAATTTTGATAGGGTATTAACAATACCTAAAGTAGCTGTTGAGGATGAAGGTGAATACATTTGTGATGTACGTAATGATAGAGCTCATATACTAAACAGTGTATTTTTAAAAGTACAAGCAGAACCAAATTTCACAATACCCCTTGCTGATAAACATATGGATAACAAAGGTGATCTGCATTGGAATTGTGAAGCATTCGGTATTCCAGATGTGAATTATACTTGGTGGAGAAACGGAGAGAAACTGTCAACAGATGCTTTAGAATTACAAGATAAGGATAGGTATGTAATACAAGACAATGTTTTGATCATCAAATATTTGGATCCAAGTAGAGATCCTGGTATGTATCAATGTGAAGCAAAGAATCAACTGAAAGCCCGGTTTTCATCCGGACAATTACGAGTTTTGTCTTTAAAGCCATCTTTTAAGAAACGACCTTTAGAGAGTGAGACATACGGATCTGAAGGAGGCAATGTTACCTTGAAATGTTACCCTGAAGCAGCTCCTAAACCAACATTCACATGGAAAAAAGATAACATTGTCATAGGTGCTGGAGGGAAAAGATTTATAACTGAAACTGGGAATCTCATAATAAGACAACTTTCAAGAGATGACGAAGGTGTTTATACATGTGTAGCGAAAAATCAATATGGATCAGATGAAAGTCGCGGACGCCTCATTGTTTTGAGAGCCCCACGATTTGTTGAGAAATTACCACCTAGAATAACTACAGAAGTTGGTAAAACTGTATTCTTACATTGCAGTGCAGATATTGATCCCTTGTTAGACACAGCATATCTCTGGAACCATAACGCCATTCGTATGAAGCAGGCTTCAGATATATATGCAGATAAAAGAATTAAAATAGATGGTGGCGAAATGACTATATATGACGTCAGCCTATCTGACGTTGGCGAATATGAATGTGTCGTTAAATCTGCGATTGGACGGATATCATCGCGTATGCAATTACGCATAGAAGGTCCGCCCGGTCCTGCCGGGGGATTGCAAGTGTTAAACATTCAACGGTCTTCTGTGACTTTAGAATGGACAGACAGTAATCCAAATGGTCGTCCAATTACTAGCTACGTCATCACTGGTCGCACACAATGGAACTCTTCTTGGTATGCGATCAATGATAATGTTGTGAACGTCATGGAGATTGATAGGTATAATGGACGAAAACGAGCAGTTATATCAACAACATTGCTACCTTGGTCCGTGTATGAATTTAGAGTGCAAGCTGTAAACAGTTTAGGAATTGGTGAGCCATCTTCGCCAAGCCCTCAATTTTCGACGCAAGCTGATAAACCCTACCAAGCTCCAATGAATATTGGAGGCGGCGGGGGTAAAATTGGGGATCTTACAATTACTTGGACTCCGCTACCCCCAGCTCTGCAAAATGGACCTGGAATTCACTATAAAATATTTTGGAGGCGAAATGGTTCCGAGGTTGAATTTCAATCGCTACTGCTTAAGGAATTTGGAAATATTGGAATGCATATAGTCCATATCTCTTTGGATTATTTCTTTACGCCTTATAATGTAAAATTACAGTCATTCAACGATCTAGGTTCTGGACCAGAGAGTGAGATAGTGACCATATACTCTGCAGAAGATATGCCACAAGTTGCGCCGCAATTCGTAAAATCACATTCGTTTAACTCCACCGCTCTTAATGTAACATGGAACCCGATTGATCAATCCCGAGACAGACTTCGAGGCAAGTTGATCGGACATCGTCTAAAGTACTGGAAGCAGGAGAACAAAGAGGAAGAATGTATCTATTACCTATCAAGGACGACACGTAACTGGGCTCTTATTGTGGGCTTGCAACCTGACACTTACTACTTCGTAAAGGTAATTTTTTATTAATATATTGTAATATTAATTTAATAAGAGATTTGTTTAGTGAATCTTTGCCGATATCAGTTTATCAGGCACAATGTCTTTCCACGATAAGGTTCAGTCTATACAGTATATCGGGTGAATATATTAAAACCTTATATAATTGTAACAATTCAATGTTTTTTTAAATCGATCGAAATGTCATTAAAATTGATAAATTTTACCAGCTAAATCAATGTAATAAATTAATGTTTCATGTTACGTTCGAATAATCTTGTCAACGAAATCGGTATATGTTATTAATTTATAAATTACAGGTGATGGCATTCAATTCGGCGGGTGAAGGGCCAGAAAGTGAGCGATACTTAGAGAGAACATACAGAAAGGCTCCCCAGAAGCCTCCAGCCTCTGTCAATGTTTGGGCTGTAAACCCGAGCACTGTTCGTGTTGTATGGAGATACGTACAACCCACGTCTGAAGAAGAACCTCTTCTTGGCTATAAGGTAAGTTAACGTAAATTAAACCTATACGCTTATAACTAAGTACATAGTCTTGCAAAAACCTCCTAATACAATTCTTCCATACGAATAATTCCAGGTACGAGTTTGGGAGAGCGATCAAGACATGAGTGTAGCTAATGACACCTTAATACCAGTGGATCACAAACTAGAAGCCTATGTCACTGGCCTTACTCCAGGAAAAACTTATAACCTTCGAGTGCTGGCGTATTCCAATGGAGGTGATGGAAGAATGTCTTCCCCGGCTATAACATTCCAAATGGGTGATTACCACAGTGACGCATACGGCTATTACGTAAGAGGAACAGGGAACATACACACTCCTCTTAAATCCATTCTAATTCTAATAATTATCTATATTATAATATGAATCTCAGAAATATCACGCCTACACGGAAATTTGGATGGGCAGGCAAATTTACACATTCCCAGAATACAATTTTTGTTATTTTGAATTTTACATCTATATATAAATGTTAGTTTAAGAAGAAAAAAGATTTATGCTAAAACCAGTTTCGCAATATTTGAAACAACTCAACAAAGACAAAAATGTTTATATATTTTTAATATTTAGAGTTAACGTAATGTCTAGGTTAGTGACTATCATAGCAGCTTTTTAAATATATTTTTTATACTTTTACAGTTGTATAAATGTAATAATTCATTTTGTATGGTGATATTATGTCCGGCCATTTTGTTTTACGGTTTTTTATTTTACATCACTTAATTTTAAATTTTTACTCGTATTTATATACTGTTTTGTTGTTTTTATGCTTATAATTGTAACTAGACAATAACGTCTGTAGATATATTTAGTTTGTATTAACAATGAAGCAATCTCATACGTATAATTTGTATTCAATGTGAATCCGAGCCATTTTTTAATATTTAGATATATAATGTAAAGACTATTATGTACAGTATGTATTAAATTTATGCACAGTACAAAATTAATGGCAGCGCCAATTAACCAATGAATTTAATCATTTTTTCATATAACAGCTCTTTGAAATGTACTAGGTATTTGTGATGTTCATGACAGTTAATACTTCTATGCTTTTAAGTATCAATTTTAAGGCCTAGTGAAAATACTGCCTTAACATTGTTAAATATGTAAGATCATTTATTTTTAATAAAATCTTTTAAATGAAATTTCTGACTTTTACTATTTTTTAATTACTTCATTTAGGAAATAGAAAGTTTTCTTTAGGGTTTCATGAATTTTATTATTGCACATATCTTATGGTTTTTAATGATTACGTAATCTTATGTTTAACTTTACGTTTAAGGCACTTTGCATCTACGTCACATAAGTCATCATCGCTAAGTTTTCTTTTACACAATTTACTGTCTTCGATGGTCTGCGATTGTGTTTTCAGTGGCAATAACCCCACTGCAAAAGGGATATCCTCTTGAAGAGTACTGAAGTCGCCTCCCAACGCTTTGTTCGTATCGTTATCATTATCATGTTCTTCGCAACCAGTCCATTCACTTGTTTTCAAAACATCAGAGAAATCTACATTCGATTTAGTTTCTGCAGTGACCGGTGCTAAATTTTCTTTATCCCAATCTAAATCATGCGGGATTGTAGGTGAAAAGCTATCGTTTATGTCAGTTTTCCTAATATCTCCATTTGTTGTAGATTCACTATTAAATACGTGATTTATGTTTTCGAAGTTAACACTACTATCTTGTTCTTTGTGCTTAGCCAGTATATTATCGGAATCATCCTGAATGTTCCTAATATTGCTTTCCAAGTCCATTAAGTCTTTCATGATTTCATCTTGTTCTTGAACTCTGTTAACGCTTGTTCCATCAAACCTATCGCTATCCGCCGGCTTTGGTGGTGAGATTAAACAATCAATTTCTTCTTTAAAATGTGAGGATTGGGATAACTGCATACTAAAGTCATAACAGTCGTCATTTCTTTCTGGATTAAGAGGATTGTATTGTTGGGATATTCCTTCTCCCAAAGACGTATTTTTTGTATCTAATAAAGACATGCTAAAACTAGAATCAAGTGAATTAGTAACAGGACAAAGTGTATCTCTTGGATCATTAAGTTGTTGCTGTTGGTAATAATTTTTAACGTCATCACTCATAGATTTGGTAAAAAATTGCATGTCACTTTCAATGCAAGTAAAATCGTTTGTACTTTCAGGATCCATCGTATTGCTATTTTGTAGTCCACTACCTAACACAACGTAGTTTTGATTTTCGTTAAATGATTCTAAGCTATCAGGAAGTATAGAATTTAAAGTTGTTATCGCATCTTGATGTGCAATATTATCTTTCTCAAAGGAGTTCCTGGATGTGTAATTGTTGGATCCCATTAGTATTTCTCCTCGTTCTATAGACTTGGATAGATCATCGATACTTTTAATTTCACTTGGATCAGAAACCTTTTCAATAATGTCAGGCTGTTCGATTACTTCGTATTTTATTTCGTTGCTCTGAACCATATCGAGGAGAACTTGTTCGTTGACATTTATGTATGAGCCGTCGCTAGACTCAAATAGAATAGGCAGATCTGTTGGGAGGCCAGCACTTTTTAAGGCATTAACGTATTGAGTCATAGCCGTACCAGAGTCAGATGATTTTGACGTTTCGTTGACTGATGAGTCCTTCGAAAAGGAAATGGGTGGGTCCAACATATTGGATGATACTGTTTGGTCCATATACATGAGATCGCTGTCTATGTTCATATAACTATGCGTGGAAGATTCAGGTTCACAAATACTGCTAACTGCTTGCGTCAACGTTCTATCCATATAGTCCTATAAAGAAACAAAATTATTGACACTGCCATATCGGGAAGCACATTTTCATATTTTTTACTATTTTTGTAACAATTCTAAATCCATTTGTTCGGCTAAGAGTTTACGATGAAGATAAAGTTGTCTAACCTGCATTTGTCGAGACTGCAAATTCTTTAAGTGGTGTATGGCTTTACGCGAGTCCTGTTCTCTTCGCATTAAGGCTCGTTCTGCAGCTCGGCCTATCAATCCAGTACTATCCCACGGGCCAGACTGAAAAATATATTTATATAATCTCATTCGGTAATATTCTAATTATGAAATGAAATATAGACTTTTATTGGAATATTTTATTTACATACTATTTAAGAAAATTTAAAAAAATTAAATTGAAGCATTATTCTCCTAACAAAACAAAAAAAGTACAATGTGTCCCGATCAAGGAGGTTTCAATTCAATTTAAGTACACATTATCTGTGGTGAGCGCAACCAATAAGACTTTTGTTTCTTTCATATTGTATTTTAGCCATGAGATTAAATAAAGTATTGTATACAACTGCATATAATGAGTTATTAAAACACTCGTGTAAGCTTATTTTGAAACTCGCCTACGGCTGTTTTCATACCCTCTATTATATGACTGTTGCATAAACTATTATTATCGTCGCCTCCTTGATTAAGTTGATCAACATTTCATTTATTTTATACTTGCATTGCTTGATTTCTATCTAAACTGAATTAAAAAACTCTTTTTGAATTAAAACTTGTCAAATCGATATCCTATTCTTTGGGAAAATCGTAATAATTAGTCTTACTCTCATGCTTGGTCTGCCTCGTCGTGGTCGTATGGACCTTAAGTCAAAATCTCCAGAACTCATTCCTTTATTTTCGATATCAAATGGTATCCGAACTACTGTATCCTGAAATCAGATAGGATGTCAAACGAAATAATAAATCATATATATTTCTTGGTTTTCCATTATAATTTTCTTCTACGAATTACAATTTGCCTTCTGATGATTCAAATAGTATTTACGTGAGTTACGAATGCAGAAGAAAACTAATAAATGCCTGAGAAAAAGAAATATTTACTTGACTATTTCGATTGTCCATACTTTGGGACGTGTTAGTCGCTGCTTGATCTATTGACTTTGTTTCGAGATTGTCCTATAAGAAAATTTTGTGTTATTACGTTTAGTAGTTATGTTGAACATTCTCAGTATGAAATGTTAAATGTACCTGAGCATGCAAGTCAGTCATAGATTGCGGTGGACCATTGATAACTACAGGAGGAGTAAACACTGGTAGTTCGCCTTCGAAAAAATATTTGATTACATATATATGTGCCAATATACCTAACCGAAGTTAGCAACAATTATTAAAATATATATCATTTTTCATCTTACTAGTATTGGTAATACCGAGACCCTCTTTGGTTACTTTTGATAGTCCCTTTATCTTCAGAAACTGTGCAGCCGATACTAATTCATCTAAATGCTCTTCGGGACATTGCGTTTTGCCACAATACATAAACTCCACTAAGCACTTCATAACTCCAAATCGCATTTTTAATATTATTAACGGTTCTCCAGTTTGCTTTTGCAGTACATCCTATAATTATTAACGTATTCAAATGATAAACTAATACATGTTTTTAATAAAATACCTACTACTCACTTGAAAGTAAGCACTGCTTGCAGCTAGTACAGCCTTGTGTACGCGCAAAGTATGAGAACTGCACATTAAAGTCATATCCACGAATGATTGCATTTGTAAAAGCTTTCCGAATCTCGACATTAAATGCTCTGAATAATCTTCATAATGTAAACTATAACGTATTGGTGCCATTGTTCATAATTAATATTTTTATTAACTATTCATGATTGTTCAAAAATGACATGACATTAACTTGATTGAAAATAAAACAAAACACTTCTGAAGTTTGTAAACTAATTTTTAAAAATGTTTTACATGCAGCCAGGTTTATATGAATATTAAAAAAGGTTTTCGTAGCATACCTATTGTTTGTTGCCGGTTTATTAGTATAATAATTCCGAGATAATGCTCGGCATGCTACCAAGAATTATGATAATAATTCTGTATACATTATACATTTTTAGATTTTTCATACAATTTCGTTTAAAATTGATGATATAAATAATAAACTAAAATATTATTGGATCATTTTATTCGTTTAAAAATACAGAAAAAAAATAGTAAATGTTAGAAAATGAATTAATTACAAATTTGCATTTAATTATAAAAAATCAAAATCAAATAATAAGTGTTGATTCAAAAAAAAGATCATGAAAAATATTCTATCACAGACTAAATTGTAAGTACTGAAACAATAACTATACTATGCTATGTATATAGGGGCTTTACAATAATTCGTTATTTAATAGAAATAATTACGAAAATGTTAATGGAATATGAATTAATTCTATTTAGTCATTTAAAACCATAAAATTACTTGGAATGTTTGTAGGAATGTAATAATTTGCTCATAAGGCACTTTGAACCAATATCGAATTCATTTTTTAATTAAAATGTAATCTGTTCAGAATAAGAATAAATGTATCGTCACCTATAAACGACCGAATATTTTACTCAATTCTATTACAATTACGTACATATCATTTACAAAGTCATTAAACATACCGCAGTCGTAAAAACGACAACGAGTCACATACTAAAATATATAAAAATACTGGAAAACAAATATAAGGAATACGCACTTCTAATAACATTATTTTTACATAGGACAAAGAAGTTTTACACGTTATTTAGAGCTAATAAAACATGAAGCAATCTACTCAAACGTACAGTACTAAGTAGGTACCCGTAAGAAACGATTTAAAAATACAAATTTGTAACACGTTCAATACTTTGAGTATCATTTTTAAAATTTACCCTTACTCTCCTATTACAAAGCTCATAGACGCATTAATTAGCCGAAAAACACAGCGAGATCCCACGTCAATCCTAAACGCATTTGCTCAATACCTGAGACAGAAATAAATTAATTTTGGTACATGGCAAACTTATTGAGTTTATTTATACACGGGAAATTGCAATTTAAAGTAGAGCGTATAAGTAACATTTTAGCATGTTTAGCATTCAAGAAGTTTGCCAAAAAAACATACTTCATTCTATGAACATATACATAAGGACCTATATACCTTGTATCCTCAACGGATTTTATACAACAGGACTATCACATATCGTCAGCTTTTAAAATTAGGCGGGAATACAATAACTTAAATGCATATTTCAATTCATAAATCCTTACCTAATTGAGTTCAAAATACTCGTCTAAATACTAAATAATATTGTCCCACTAATACACGAATTAAATAATATTCCATCTCAGATATTTGTAACGCAAAAAGCTGTATTAATTTTGTTTCGGTTAAAATTTATAGAAAAATATTGTGAAAAAGCTTTAAATATCGTTAGTACTGATTAATACAAGTGTAAAAATAAAGTCTTTTTAGACATCTGGCAATAATAGAGAAAATAGTTTATGGATTTAATAAAACTTAAATTATGATTTCGCCGTTATTGAAAAATATAAGTTATGACTTACTACTACGCGCTTAGTTTTCTATATGCTTAATTTAAAAGGTTTCCTGCTCAAAATAATTGTATATCTACGAGAATGTGGTAAAAGACAGATTATGTCTTCAAATCAATGTTTAAAATACAATTGTTTTGAGCAAGTGCCTTGAAATCGCCTTGTATTAATCAAGTACATTTTATCTCACTATTAAATAATTGGCGTTATAGCAATTAATGAATCTAAGTTATTCATTTGTAATTATAAAATATTTTATGTTGTTAACGGATTGACATATTTAATTGACAGATTTAAAAAGAAATAAAATCATTTTGCAATCGGGCGTATTATACATTATTGTACTCAGCACATTCTTAGATAAATATAAAGATTTAAAGCGGTAAAATACATATTTTCAAGTTTTTTAGGAAAAATAAAAGATTTAGACGTAAAATAAAGTTTACGTACACTGTAATAGTTATAGAGATAATGTTATCTGAACACTTTACATATTATAATAGGTATGAGTCAATTTGTACAATAGGTTATGTAGAAAAAATAGAGATTCATTTATAGAGATCGTACAGTGAAACGCGACCATTGTTAATACTAAAACAAATTTCAAACGAAACACGTATGATACAAACTAATAAATGTCTCCAAATAAACTATTGATTCGCAAAAAATCAGTTGAGATGAGAAATTATTCAATTTAAAAGTTTATGTTTATTTTTCTTTATGAAAAACTAGAATTGTAAAATAATATAATCTCTCAAAGGAATATGGGACATTCGAAACAATGGTCCGTTTCAGTGGCAGGGTCGTTCCTTAACATTAAAAGCAAGTACAATATTTACATTAGCAATATACGCGAACTAACAATATACACGGCTTACCGCTACTTGGAATTTAATTATCGATTATTTTCAAAAATTCCTCGGGCGAGATGTGAATGCCGTCGGCCGGCGACGGACACGGTTCGGCACTCGGGACGGTGTTCTTGAGTTCTCCAAACGTGTACGTCCGTTTGGAGCTACGAGACTTTTGCCGTGCCGGAAGAGACGCTTCGCAGTCGAGGCTGGCGCGTTTGAAGCAGAACGCGGGTCGCGGCTCTGCGCCCGCCGACATCGGCATCGGCATGGCCAACTGAGGCCGCGAACGACCCAACTCGTTGTCGCTCATCTGCCGCTTCAGCTTCTCCTTTCCCACCACTAATTGGAAGCCCCTGAGTTTACTTTTATCCAGCTCGACCTCACTCATCTGCCGCTTGAGCTTCGACGGATCGACTAGACTGTTCTGACGCGTTTTCCCCTGGCGCGCGGTACCACCGGACGAACTACTGGTGTTAGTGTCACATGGGTTGGCGTCGCGCCGCAACGTGTCGATCACGTTATAAAAGTGTTCTAGTTCGCCGCTGCTGTTGTTTCGTGATCGCGTGACGTTGTTGGTGCTATGTCGATGTGGGCGGATTTGTGCTCGAGGTAGATGGCCGTAGCTGCTCTGTCTTGAGATGACAGCGGAGTTCTGCCGGCGCGGCATACTGCAACTTTTCGGCACGAAGGCGTCCTGCGACAACACCACGTTTTCGTAAACGTGAGCGTTGTCAAAATCTTCCTGCGATATTAGGTTTTGTCTACTCTCCGTCGTATCGCGTCTCTGACCAACCGAATTACTTTTCTTGTGCCCGCTTCGTACTTTGACTTCGGCCGGTTTCTTTAACAACTTGCAATCGCTAACACTGCGAGGTAGGAGATTTTCATAACCGTGAACGGTTTCTTGTTGTATGCCTGCGATTTGGGAATTCGTTGGATGTTCTGTACTATTTTTAACTGAATTGGATAACTTCAGTTTAGAGATAAGGTTTGTTTTTCCCGAATCGGCTGGACAGGTCTGCTGAGGAAGGGAATCGTGACGTTTCCTCTCTAGTTCGGGCTTCGACGACTTATCTAGAACGACTTTAGTTTTATCGCTCTTACAAATTTTTACGCTAAATCTAAATGGAGGTTTGAAAACTACTTGTAATCTAGCTTTCTCTCCGGAGAAAAGGTTTGTTGCACTTTTTGAAGGCCTCGCTTTCCTGGACCCTTTTGAGATTTGGCGATGCGTTCTTTCAGTTAAATTGACAGGTATAGATTTCGACTTAGGGATAACTGTGGGTTGGGGGGAGCTGAGCAGCCATTTCTGAACTTTAGATAAAGCTTCATTATCCTTAATAGGAGTAGAAGGATGTTTCTGCATCGAGCTGTAATCTATGGTTTCTTTTTTGACTTTGAGCTTCCTCTTTTTAACTTTTCCTTTATGTTTCGATAATATAACATGTTTAGGAGACTTCCCTTCGGCATTTGTAACAACGGCAGTAGCTTCTTTTGCTACCTTGACTTCATCAAGTTTGGGCTGGGCCGGTGGTTTCTGTAAAGATATAAAAAAAAATAAGTTTTTGCTTTCACTTTAGAAGTCGCGATAAACATAATATGAACCGGGTCTAACCAGAATTTTGTGTTCGAGTTAGGTTCAGACTGTACTGAGTTTAATTGAACCACATTTGTTTTGAAGAGGCATTGAATAGAAATGTTCCTCCATCACATAAATTTTCTGAATGTTTAATAACTTATGTATCTTATGCGAAAACTTACTCTCTTCTTGTTGTTCTTAGCGGCATGCGCAGGCGACGCCTTGTCTCCTTGTTTGTTAGTCTGTTCCTTCTTACTGCGGTATGCTCGAGTGCGAAGTGCTACCTTCTTCTTAAGAGGGAGTTTGGATCTGAAATTATAGACTCGATCGAAAATGTTCTATTCGAAGTGACAAATTTTGTATTTAGTTTTTAAGTCACAGCCTATTATTCAATATTCATGACAGTTACGATGAACAGAAATTTGGAAAAAAAAAAATTAATAATCAGTGGCGCTACAACCTTTTTAGGTCACGTCCTCAGATTTCTGTATTTGTTTTATGATGAAACAATCATAATTTGTCAATCTAATAGGCAAGTAGGTGCCTGACGCACGCCATCTACTTTTTGGGTCTAGGGCAACCGATTTCCTTCACCGTTCTGGCGAATGTTAAATGCGCACTTAGAAAGAAAGTCCATTGTTCCTCAATCGGGGCTTTTTGGGTCTAAAGCAAGCCGATTTCATTCACCGTTCAAGCGAATGCACATAGAAAGAAAGTCGTTTGTTCCACGTGATCTAACCTACGACTTCAGGGCTGAGAGTAGCACCTGAAGCCACTAGGCCAACACTTATATTACACTTACAAAAAAGTAGACACCATAATTTGTACATTGAAAGGCACCTGCTTTCCATTTTATTTGTAACAGGCCTTTTATGGTTGCCTTACATATTGGTATGTTATCTAAAGCTGGCGGCTTCAACACATTTACACTTTGTGCTTGTGAAGTGTCTGTGAATAAGTTCGAGGCGTGATGTCACACTGAATAAGCATCATGAAAAGACTGTCCGTCTGTCTCGCGCTCGGTCAAGCTTATGAGTATAAAAGAGACAGTTATTGTTTTGCTTTTGCTACTGTTTATGTTGATCTTTACTGTACATGTTGATCTTTTTCTCATTATTATTTTGTCTGTGATTGTTTACTTATTTGGTTGGAGGTTAGAATACTTTGAAAAAAATGTCTTATGAAATATATTCCGTCTAAACATTAACAGGACAATCTCGTGAAATGGTGTACAATGTTTTTAATTATTATAAGCATCTTAATAAAAACAGTTTAATAAAAAAATGAAATTTTTAATTTGACATCAGATGCGACTGGTGTTTCTAAGAAGAGTATTGAAAGAATTGTTAGTGAAGTAAAAGTGAAGTGTGTTGAGCTAGATGGAGCTTAAGTCGTTAAATGAAAAATTATTTACACAAACTACTCTTTTACTTTCTTGGTCGAGCTTAGAACTTTTGGATCCACCCTCGTATGCACATAATAGTTATATGTATTAGACCACAAGCCCATGAACAAAAAATACCTGTGAAATGACCCAACGTGAATTACGCTTAGAAGGCTGTTACTATATCTGAAAATAGCTCTGAGCACTATGCCGTCATTTCTGAGCGGTACATGTGAGTACGTGAGTGAATGGACTTTCTCATGTACAATGGGGGGAATTTCGACTAATTATTAAAGTACGGCTTTGTTATAAGTGTATAGATGATTAAAAATAAATGTCGAAAAACCTAGTGCCGTACAAAAGTGATGGTGCCGGAAGTCGGTGCAAATTTTTAATTCGACGACAGTTGCAGGAGCAATATAGGTCATTTATTACTGTACGGCATTTGTGTCATTCCTTTTGGACACATATACAGATACTTTACCCGTAAACGCCGTACATATTCCCAGCGGAGCGGTCGAAAGCCAAGGGTCGCAACATATGTCTGATTAGCATATAGGTGATGATGATATGAATCAACATAAAATTAAATGATCTTGAGAGTACTTCACAAATAGATAACATTTTCCAGCATGCCGTACATTTTTTGTGGAACACATAGGTGTATGGGGCAAATTACTTTTCTCAGAAAAGAGTCATTTTCCGGTGACTTTTATCTGTACGGCAATAACACAGGTTAATAATACTTTAGACAATCTTCAATAAAAGATAAATGCCGTACACTTTCGATAGTCCGCTACCACCGCCTACCAATACAGGGCGTCCCAAAGTTATGGGAAATGAAGGGAAAGTACCTTAAATATCGTAGATAGGGTATTTTACTAAAATAAGACTTTATGTTATTTTTAAAAGTTATTAATTCTGCATTCAAAGATTTTTAAAAATTACTTGCCTCGTCTGGGAATCGAACTGACTTAAATGTAAAAAAACACCCCTACTTTTATGATGCCAATCGAAAGAATGACCAAAAACTAATAACTCTTCTTAAGTAACATAGTATTTTAAAAGAAAGGAACAGCGTGAATATATCTTTTAATCAAATTAAAAACATTATCTATCGTATTCGGCCTAAAAAAATCCCCTACGAGTCTGTTACTTTAGAAAAGTTATTTATTTAGGTTTTGGCCATTCTTTCGATTGGCATCATAAAAGTAGGGGTGTTTTTTTTTAATTTAAGTCGGTTCGATTTCCAGACGAGGCAAGTAGTTTTAAAAAAAATCTTTGAATGCAGAATTACTAACTTTTATAAATAACATAAAGTCTTCTTTTAGTAAAATACCCTATCTGCGATATTTAAGGTACTTTCCCTTCATGTCTCATAACTTTGGGACGCCCTGTATTATATATATTTTTGTTAAAAATATTTTTCCTTTACCTCTCTCTGCTGGTACGATAAGGCTGTAAATATACTTTACAGCCTTATGGTAGTATACTCAGATATGTACAGTTATTAATGACCTTAAGGGACACCTCAAACGTCGTCGAAGTTTTTATCAGCTGTAAAGAATAATCTGGAGTAAAATGTACGGCATCTGGTTTTTTTGTTTATTTATATTTGTTACATATAAAATAACAATAATCTTTGAAAATATTACTCCCCATATTACTCTAGGAGCATTTGAAAAGTCATCTAAATTTCGGAAATTTCATATATTTTTTATCATAATATTTTTATTTGTTACCATTTATAATGAACGGCTATAATGTACAACGGTAATATTTAGTAACATTATGTAAAAAACAAGTTGCCGTACATTATTCTCTGATCTTACAGCAGTAAGAATTTGGTAAATCCTGAAATTTCGATAAATATTTAATTACACAAATATTAACTATATTATTTGGACGGCATAATTATAAAACATTATTGTCCGTGTTAAATAATATTTTTAACATGTTGCCGTACATTTTACAATGACCTTAGGGTATATGGGTGTAGGGGTAGGGTTCCGACCCTTGGCTTTCGACCGCTCCGCTGGAAATATGTACGGCGTTTACGGGTAAAGTATCTGTATATGTGTCCAAAAGGAATGACACAAATGCCGTACAGTAATAAATGACCTATATTGCTCCTGCAACTGTCGTCGAATTAAAAATTTGCACCGACTTCCGGCACCATCACTTTTGTACGGCACTAGGTTTTTCGACATTTATTTTTAATCATCTATACACTTATAACAAAGCCGTACATTAATAATTAGTCGAAATTCCCCCATTGTACATGAGAAAGTCCATTCACTCACGTACTCACATGTACCGCTCAGAAATGACGGCATAGTGCTCAGAGCTATTTTCAGATATAGTAACAGCCTTCTAAGCGTAATTCAGGTTGGGTCATTTCACAGGTATTTTTTGTTCATGGGCTTGTGGTCTATATTTGACACATTTTTATTTATTTACAACCCACCCAACCTTAATAAAACCAGAGTAGACTAAATATAGATTGGCAAAAAATACATATTTTTAAACATACTGTATAGTGAAATTGCATTAGTGTGAGTACTGTGAACGCGCCAGCTTTCGATAACCGTCCTATACATTTAAACATAAGACTAGGTCTCAGGCTAATCAAATTTTGATCTACGTACCTGACGGCCGTATGAACGATCATCTGGTCGCCGGCATCAGGCAGACGGACGGTTTCTGTGGTTGATGAGTGGATGATTGTGACTGACTTCATCTTCTTAGCGTGCCTCCCCAGAAACCGGGTGCTCGCCACCTATTGATTTTTATGGTATTATAATATAAACGAAAACTATCCTAAGATCACCATAAAGACCGGTTATAGGCCACCATAATTGGCCTTCGGTTTGCTCAAATATATAACGTCACCAATTTAAATTGACCAATATTAAAATTGGGTTATTATGTAGCGTTTATTTTATTGATGAGACATGATACGAAGTAGCGAAGTTGTAAATGAAAAAATGATTTTCTAGCACTTTCTTAGCTCTAGTGAAGTACACAACGAGGAGCTGACGTACAATAGTTTGTTTTAGCGTAAAACACTGGCTAATTCCACGTTTAAACGAATTATACCTTTTATTGACTCTTCAAGTTCTATGGCAGAGTCTAGAATTCTGCAACATCGCTACGAAAAATATAATAAATCAATAGTTACTGTCCCAATAGAATCTTAAATATTCTTTAAAATAGTTCAGTACAATGTTCCGCTAAAACATTAATAATCTTCCTTCCATAATTTAGACTCCCTTTCCAAAACAATAACTGACTAAGATAATTAAACTAAAATAGTATTAGCTACTTACCAGGAGAGCAATAACAGCAAGGAGTATGAGCAGAACGGCGTACCAGTGGCGGAGGACCCACCGTTTGAAGCCGGCAATGCTTTCATCAGATAATAAGAGTTTTCGGAGAGTCGCCAACGGACCTGACGGGTCTACTTCACGGCAACGTTGGAATACGTCACAGTAGCTGTGTGAAAACATATATTTTTAATTTCCACAAGCCACAAATATTTATATATTTCTGTCAGTTTCGTAGTTCAACAAAAATGTTATTAGACATTTTTTATTCCCCTGAGGTGGAAGTACATCAAAATACCTTCTCAGTTTAACTTGCTTTAGATAAAAAAACAATTAAAATAGAACAGATATTAATTACTACTTAATAAAATAATTCTGAGCCAATGGAAAACTCACCCATTATAATCATTGCAAGGGGTTCCCGGTTTCGCATACATATCCGGGACATCATACGGCGGTGTGTTCCAATGGAAGCTGGACAGGCAGGCTCCTCCCGTTTTGCGGCAACACAACTCACAGGCTGATCTAGGGTCATCCTTACGAGGTACGCATTGACATGATTCCAGGCCATAAGCGAGGCAGATGGAACCAGTACATTCCTGTAATGGTGTATAAAAATATTATGTATCTTAACAGTTTGACAATATTTTTTATTTCCGCTTTCAGGGTATAGTGTAGCGAATATGAGCGAGATATATATGGAACAGAATTTCCCATATGTAATGAGAATTCATCCATATTAAATAGGTAAATAATATGGGTGTATCGAAGTATTGTTATCTATGAAATAACCTTTCAACTAACCTTTATCCTCTACACTATTTATTATGAATTTTCTTTTAGCATTACGAAAAGTGAATTTCAGTGCAAATCAGAAATAATAAAACGAATAGAAAAATAGAAATTTTAGCCAAATACGAAATGTAGATTTGATTATTTGGGCGCATACAAATAAATAATACTTTCATTTGTATGCGACCCACGTTAATAACGAATAGAACCTATTTAGTTTTATTGTCTCTTAGATATATACATATAGTTGATTATCATCTTAAAACCCATACAAATAAGTTTTGATAAAATTAAGTTTAAGTAATAATAAGGTAATTGTGTTAAAAATGTTTCTTTCGTGTATGTGGGTCACTAACCCCCATAAAACAGACGAGTTCCTTGTCACATCTGGTCCGGTTGGGCTTGTGTCTGCTTGAGGGGCAAACAGGGCGTTTCCCGTCGCAATGCGCCGCGTCTCGGCATCCATTATCAGAGCGACATTTATCCCCAAATTTGAGTGTACATGAAGATGTGCAGCATGGACCCTGAAGAAATAAAGAAGCATAGCTAAAGCCTTTTTTGAGGTTAGTAGTTATTAGTTGGAGGATTTTCTCTTTCTTGGGACAAAGAAAAATATTATTGATATTAAATTAGGATACAGAAAATGTTTACATATAAGATATTTTTAAGCCTACGTTATTTAGTTTATCACTATACGCGTAATCAGCGTCTCCATTTACGTTAAAATAAAGTTTTCGATTTAGAAGCGCACTTAGAATTATCTACGAATTTACGACACTGAATACGCTAAAGGAAATGTTTTTGGTTTCATAGGAGACTATAGGATCTGTGCATAGTAAGAACAACTATAGTATAGGCAAGGCAGATACATACCTGACTAGGACTACACACGCTATGTTCAGTGAGCGTACACGGCTTGTAGTGGGGACGTACGGCCTGCGGACGACAACACACGTCCGTACATTCCGATGCCCAGCCACAATCACATTCTTCGCCTTCCTCCACCACGCCGTTACCGCAGATGGCTGGTTGCGGTTCTGGAAATTAAAAATTAATATGTTATCACCGTATTGACTAGTAAAATTTTCTTTAAATATTTTCTATTGTAATTTTAATTATTAAATAATTTTAATCATTATATGTCACCGAAAAATTATAAACATCCTAGCATATTCTTTATTTCACGATAAATTGTGCATAGCGCCTCCAATTCACGCATTTTTAATGGATTAATAAATATAGAAGACAAACTATTAAATTACGCACGACGCACTCGCGAGCCCTCTGGCATTGAGAGTGTCCATGGGCGGCGGTATCACTTAACATCAGATGAGCCGTTTGCCCTCTGTTCTATAAAAAAACTATAAAATTGTAAAATATGACGGATTGATTACTTGAACCTCGTATATATTATTTCACGGCTTTAAAATTAACTTAAAACTATCTATCTATTTGTAAGAATAAAAGCTGTTTTGAAATTTTATATGTATGCTAACCATCAAAGAGGGTAAATTTGTAATTGAAATATTTTCTGCTCTAAACAATGTCTGCCTTATTGTTATAAAATTAATAGCATTATTGCTATAAGCGTAAATATAAAGTATTGATTTCTAACAAATAAACATTGTTACCTGTGAAGCATCCTTTGGGAGAGCGAGCCTTATTATTGAGTACAGGATCTATAGCTCTTAAAGAACACGGAGAAAACTTATTATTATTCTTGCGATCACCGCTCGTAGCTCGTGCGAACATTATGTAGTTCCCATCTTCTCCAAAAGGGGTACAGACCTCTGGATCGTGCTGAAATTAGCATACTAATATGAGGTTTAGAGTCGAGACTCGGCGCTAACTGACTCATCTCTAAAGAGTTTGACATACGAAACATTCCCATTAATCTTAATATATATAAATCTCGTGTCACAATGTTTGTCCTCAATGGACTCCTAAACTACCGAACCGATATCAATCAAATTTGCACACCATGTGCAGTTCGATCCAACTTGAGAGATAGGATAGTTTAAATCTCAAATTATAGTCGCAATTTTAATTTATTGCAAAATATTTGTTTATTATTTGATACAATTCTAACAGATGGCGCTGTGTTAAAATTATCAACGTTTCACATAAGCTGTCATCTACCTTTCACATAAGTTCTCCTACCGTTTCCCTTGAATAGTTTACTACTATGTAATATAACAAAAATCTTAGCCAGAGCAACGCTTGGCCGAGTCTACTAGTTTGGTATAAAAATTCAGATTTATAAAAAACGCTACTATAAAGCTGAAAAGCTTGTTTAAACTCAGGAACTGCAGGGTAAAATTGTCACGTTATTTACACAAATAAAATCGTAGACCTCAGCTAGTAATACCTTTATATTATTCAGGTACAATATAAGAATAAACAACAAAGAAGTTTATTGTGAAGCGACAATAGATGGACGCTAACAAGCGATATCTTGGAAATAATTGGATTGGATTCGGGACACGTTGTTACAGTAGATAAGGCGCTAAACTTGTAAAGAATTATTAGAGATATGACGTAATTTTAAAACGTTTAGACAATATAATTGTGTGTGTGGTTTATTTTAGGAAACAAAAACGCGTTGACAGATGTTTCACATAAGTATAATGCTAAAATATCTTGTTGATGCCATATATATAATTAAGTTCTCTTGCCGCCACCACTATATATAACCAGCTGCTATGCAGGTATTTCCGAACCGTTAAGACTTATCTGAATTCAAGAGAGCGTACCACAACCTTAAAGCCGGAAATGTACTGGCAAACTTGGTGTTGCGGGTGGGTGTCCATGGGCGGCGATAAACCCTTAACTTTACGTGACTCGCCTGCTTGTTTGCCTTTTATCCTAGCCAATATATATATCTATATCTATATATATATATCTATATATTTTTTTTAAGAATTAAAAGACATGTTTACATTATGCCTTCGAAAGGTATTAAAACCCGTAAAATGGCTTGTTTAATAATGTAATATATATAATAATTAATTATAATAATAATAATTTAATATATATATATATATATATATATATATAATAAAATAACTACGACGCGATACAAACACAATCATTTCAACAATTTGCTAATAAAAACAAACCTCACAACTGATTTCAATTACCTACGAATGTATGTCATGTGTGTAAAAGCATATACTAAAGCAAAAATTATTTTACCAAAAAATATGAGAATTAAAATCTACATACCGGAGATCCAAAATTATGTCCAATTTCGTGAGCCAGAGTCACGTGGGAGACAGCGGGCGGCACGTGCTTGCCGTAATTTAGTAACGTCACGATGCCCGTGTTTAACGACTTCATACTGCCCCGGTAATGCTGAAAAGAGTTTAATATTTCATTAAATAGAAAATTAATACCTCCGCTGTAAATAGATTCTAATCCTCCTTATATCATATTTGCACTCAGTTGTTACTACTGCCGGGAATATTTCTTGCAGCAATATCACCCTGAGTGTCGACGATATTACCACCCAAAAGTCTGGCAACAATGGCAAGAGCTTGAGCAGTGGCCGCACTTACTGTTAGAACGGGCTGAGTGTAAATATGGCTTCACTTTCCAATGGTATGTTATTCACGTATATTTTAAAAATGTGGATCTTAAGTTTTATCTACTAATTTATCACATCTTTTATGTCAAATTTTAATTTTAAATAAATAAAGACATGTCATCGATTTCTAGGGCTCATATAGGGCTCTACACGATTTTTCTTTTTTGTACGAATAAGTGTTTATTTTTATATATTTTTTTTAGTACACAGCCAGGATTGGACGTTGGAACGCACGGCCACCAGATGAACACTTTAATATAATTATAATGAAATATAAAAATAAATATACTTCCACATACATACAATTTAATCACTCAATAATGCTATAATTGATTGACTTTTTTAATTTCAATTAGTTTTATCATTAAGCTAATGTAAAATGAAAATTTAATTTTAGTGGAAATGATTTTGCCCGAATTTAGTAAAAATAGTGATTGATATCTCTGTGTCTTAAAATGCAGCTCGCTACATCAAGAGGGAAACATGTTCTTACGTAAATAAATTAATATTATAATAGGTATACCGAAAATGATTGCATACATACACCATTTTTTTCACAAACACCCCCGGCGTTCTTCAAATCTCCAGTCCAGGCTAACCCGAGTGTCCCCATTTCAAAATCACGGTATGTGAACATGTATGCGAGGCAAAACGCATCGTAGTCTTCCTCTGAAAATGGAAAATTAAACACGTCATAGTAAAAATATTTGAAATTTGCAAGTAATTAAGAAAACCGTTGAATTGTGAAAAACTTTTGAGTTGTTTGTAAAGTCAACAGTAACTTATTTACGAAAAATTGTTTTACATCCTTACAATAATTCTAATTATGGCTAGGAAAGGCTAGACTGTGCAATCGGCTACAGAGTTCGAACAATCTTGATATTTTTTCGGATCGCCCATCCGATTACAGAATCACTTTCATAGGTTTTTTCGCTACGCTTTATAATTTAAGGTCCTTTGTGTTGTAATCCTTTAGTAATATTTATCGTTGGAAACTTATTATATTATAGGCATTATGTTTGTGCACCTATTTTCGAGGGCACATATCGATTATAAATTCTTTCTTTCTTCTTTTATATTTTTTGTTATGTGTGACGTTGGTAGCGTAGCTATAAATAATAGATAATTATATAATTATAACCTTTTTGGAAGGAAGGAAAAACCTATGTGTGGCTTTTTACCTAACAAAGAAATAAGTACGTGTCGGTACGTTTAGGTTAAAAATAGGTAAAATTTATTAACCTATAATCTTCCATTAACATATACCTAATTATATATTATAAAATATAAACATAATATTAAATGATAATATGAGGACTCATACATTTTTCTTCATATACTCTTTGGAATGGAACTAGAAAGTATAGACTACTTCTCAAAGTTTTCATAGATTTTAATAAGTAAAAATTTACATTCAAAGAGTAATCGAAAAACCAATTATTTCCCAAAACGTACCTGAAAAAAGTTCCAAGTACTTTTCAACTCCATAATTATTGGGAAACCGATATGCGGGATCCTTGAGTGCGTCTAAAGTATGAACTTTTATCCTTTTTATCATGAACGTTATATTGTCTGGCTTTCCGTCTTGGTTGAAATCTGAAAATTAAAATTAATCGTTTACTAATTGTGAGGCATTGAATATTGTGAAAAGAAACCAAAAATTCATTCAATTTTAATGTAAGAAACGGAAATCAAATAATATTTTTAAATAAATGAGATTTGCAAACGAATATACCTACTCGTAACTAGACTGTTAAGTTACACGTTAATGTGTTTCCTTAACGCACAATCTAACAAATTTAGGTCTTATAAGAAACAAAAACAATATGTTTAAGTGTTAGGTTCCGTCCTACTCGAACTTAAATAAAGTTCAGAATATCAAACGAATAGACAAAATACATCATTACGACACGGAAATTCATGGTCCTACATGGAAAGCGTCTTAACAACACACAAAATAGGAAAGTTCATAAGCATTAGTCGCACCTGTTACTTTATATATGGCGTTAACTTTCTGCACATGGCGTGTCATCACTTCGATACAGGCTTCCTCGGAACCGTAGCGCTGGTAAAACATATGATCCGCTTGTAAATACACTAGGCATGTTGTCTTCCTCGGATCAACTGTCGCTCTCTTGTTTACATGCCTTCCATCGTCAGTTGCATTGGCTGATAATATTGTATACCCAACCGGCTCTTTCTTGACAATGTCTTTGCTAACTGTAACTACTCCTGCTTTAGTCTTTATCACCTCCACGTGTGTCTTTGGCTTCGGTCTCGATTCTTCTATTGAATCGAGTCGCACTTTAGTTATTAAGTTACTCTTATCGATTTTGGTCTTCGGTTTCCTCGTACTAAATTTGTCGAATGGGTCACTGTTACTAGAGTATGGTACGTCTAAATCTAAAGGTAGATCAGGATTTTTCTTTGGCTGATCGTCCTGCATTTCGTCATCGGGGAGCCATCGTTTCTTTCGTCTATTGATTTCGGTTGTAAGGTCATCTGAATAGTTAGTGAAGGGAATGTCTGTGAGAGTAAGCTCTTCTGTAAAATTGAATAGTTCTCCGCTTTGGCCAATTGTTCCTTTTATGTGTAGAAGATGTGAGGCACAATGTGTGGCGTCTCGATTGCTATGAGGGTGTTCTACGTCTGAGCGTCGGTAGATAACGCTATGCATGGTCGGATGATCTACATTATACCGAGAAAGCGGCTCCACGTAATATTCTTCAGAAGAAGTCCATATGGTTCCATCGAACAAACCATCAGACGTTATCACCCCGTAAACGTGGGATGAATCATCATCTGAAAATAATAAAGAATGTATTAATAGTAAAGAGTTGCAAAAAGGCTATTAATATACCATAGAATATTTATTGAAATAGATACTTTAGTTAGTGGGTACAATGAAATGAAAGGAGCCCATTACAAAATTACCCTTTGAATCTCAAACAACTGGGGATGCTTTAATGAATAGCCAGCGATATTTTATGCAAACTAATGCGAGGTGCAAAGAGCCCTGGGGGATTCGATGAATTAAAATCACAACTTGCACTCAGCCGGAGGGATGAAAACCGCTCATAAATAACTGTAATTACAACTTTCAAGTTGTCTCTTTCCAGTTTCCAGTTTTCATATTCATTTTATTGATGAAGAAAATTTTTCAGAGAGTTAACCGTTGGTCTTATTGCAGGGTTGAAAAGTTTTTATTTCTTTACTGTGAAAAATAACCATCCTTTTCACAGACTAGATAAATTAACGAAAACTGTGCTCTGTGGATGAATTAAACCTCAATAGACTTGACAAACCAATCGTAGACTTTCATTAAGCTCATTATATATTAAGTACAAAATTAAGTTTGCAAATTACGTAGGTAAAGTTTTACTAAAATGGACACAATTTATTAATTTAACTTATAAAGTAATTCAAAAATTCTAGAAAATTAGTTTTTCTGAGACGACAAATTTAAGTACACATTTCGCTCCGGAAATTAGATTTTTCAAACTTTAGTTTTATATGAAAGCAGAGCAAGAGTACATTAACTTCAGCTCGCTACTAGGTCGTGTCTCATTTTCGTAACACAAAGACAAGTAGTAATGTTTGGTACATGTCGACAAATACGCAAAGGGAGGGGTGAATTCAGTCCATTAAACTCGTGAACTAATTTCATCAAAATTCACTTTGTCTTAACGAAGCAGATGGGTCGCAATTCACACCTCGTAATTTCCTTCTAGTAAGCTGGATAGAAATTATACTTTGTTCTGCTTTAACTTGGAAAATTAAAGGTATTTCACCAATTCAAAATTCAATTGTCTTTCAGTTCAAACCGTTCGACTTTCAGACAGTTGCGGTACTAAAATACATTTGCATACATTTATGGATCATTCTAGCAAGTAGACCAAGTAAAATAAGGTACATGGATGGTGTGGTGTTATTTTATCTGTGCAAAAACATGAGTTTACTTAAATTTAATATGCAAAATTGAATTAGTTACGCTTTCTCAACGCACTGCCCGACATCTATATGAAATATAGTTCGTTCGTTATAAAGAACGACTCTAGTACCGGTACAGGTCTGTAGCTCAAGCCGTGAAGGTGACTTTTACACTAGTAATAAGGATTTTAATTCAAATCTTTATATACTCGTATATATAGACTTGCTTCGTCCTAAGCCTGTGGAATAAAACATTTTCATACAAATGTAGGTACACAAGAATGTTCGCGTCACGGATTTACCTATTGTCAAGATGATTGAATGAATCGACGCAAACGAACCGCGGTGTACGTGACCGGCTTACGGTACCTATATCTGTAATCCACGGTTCTGTAGGGTTGTCACAATCCATACATAAATAAAAAAGGACCAAGGGTCCACGTAAAAATGGGTCAAATACAAAACTCGTTTGGACATAGAAGTGTAAGATGAAAAGTTGTATTTAAATGGTTTTTTAATGTAGCAACCCTACGTTATATCCAATTGTGCGCTGAATTAGGTCACGATCGCGATATATTAAACGTATGTCGTGTTTAATTGTTATGTAAATTTCCGTAACTGCTTTAATATTCTTGATTGCATTGTTCCTATTTCCACTCCACATCTCTACAGCTTCCTGAATAAATTGCTGCATATTACTGAATTTTAAATGCACATAAAAATCGTAATAATTAATTGTAAATATGTTTAACAGAGATTGTTATAGAAGTGATTATGTTATTAATCGAATAAATCATCAATTTCTTAATTTAAAGAAATCATTTAGATAAATACTGTAACCGGTGTTACTAAAAAAGAAGAGATGTAGAAATAAAAAATAAACCTATAGCGAACAAAATGGATAAATGATAAAAACATATACTATTCTTACGTGTTTTGGATTCAGGACAGCTTCGAAGTCTAAAATCATTGAACGGTAATCGCAATGGACATAATTATTACCTTCTAGCTTCCCGGAGTAGACGAGCGCGGTATTGTAATCAAGAGGGCCGGAAGTGGAATGGAACTGGACGTCTTCTGTGAATACTGAACTTGGGCTGGGCTGGAGGAGAAGTCGGAATTCCCTGTAACAAAAATAATTTTGTCCTTAACTAAACTGCCGATGCACAATCTGTCGTAGATCCTGGCAAAGCGCGGACTTCCAGTTCAGGTAGATGATGAGTATTAAAAAAAGGTTCAGAACCAACTTGTCAGAATTAAACAACAGCCTTGGTTTGTTCGATGCACGCGAAAACTTAAAATCTACAGATAAGATAAATGTGATAGCAGAAAAAAATTCCTTGTAGTTTAAATTTGACTATTTATAATGATTCTGTTTCAATTATAATTGGAGGAGCACGAGAGCTTTTCAATTAGCGTAAAATGTGTTAAAATTATGAAATAGTGTTTAATCATAATTATAACAAAAGTAAAAAGTATCTGCAGAAAAAAGTATTTATGAATATAATAATTGTATTTTAGCTAAATATAAGATTGATATTTTCTAAATGATTGCTCATATTGTTATGAGAGAGTTCACAAAATTTACATTTCACTTGAAAAGCATAATTTAGCTTAGCCGAGAAAAGATTGCAGATATGGCACGAACACTCGCGTAACAATTTCTTGAACACCTCTTATTTACTAAATTACATTAACAGTAAAATAATCTTTTAATTAGGAAATATTCACTAAAGAAACTAAGTGGGAAGTCTTAGAAATAGTTATTTTGTTAAAAAATCAATTTTAACTAGTATAATAAATATATTTTCTCTTTACAAAGCCCATTATTTGCAAGATTGTTTCACAATAACTTTGGAATCTCGTAAAATTCTATGTCACCTTAATTGCAGTACCTATACAATGTAAATATCAAGAAATCATGTATCAATATTGTTTTGCCCGTTATAAAAACTAAACACACACACACACATTACACACTTAAAATGAACTTTATTCCTTTTTTTTCCATATTTTTTTGTTTGGAAGGCAGTGTTGGCCAAGTGGCTTAAGCGTGTGACTCTCATAACTGAGGTCGTAGGTTCGATCCCCGGCTGTGGACCAATGGTCTTACTTTCTATGTGCCATTTAACATTCGCTTGAACGGTGCAGTGAGGAAACCGGCATGCCGTAGACACAAAAAGTCGAGGACGTGTGTCAGGCACAGAATCACCTAATTGCCTATTAGATTGACAAACGATCATGAAACAGATACATAAATCTGAGGCCCAGACATAAAATGGTTGTAGCGCCACTGATTTATTTATAATTTTTTGTTATTTTTCTTTTTTAATTAGGATTATTATTTTGTGTGTCTGTTACGTTAGTAATAAATGTTATGTATATATGTCTAGGAACACAATAAATAATAATAATAATTTGTTAATAAGTATGTATTACACACAATCCCCATCAAAAACACCTACTAAATATAATTTGGAAAATTCCGAGTCCGTACGACTACCAAACTTTGTTAACGACCAAAGTACTGCCCATGCAATATATCATGACACCTATGTTTTAAAGTTCCGTGGTACAATCGCGTTGAAGCACTAAATTTCCGTTACGCAAACCTAGACTGATTTATCGTCACAGCACCACGATCTACATTTTAACACTTCCAGATGGCTAGCCATAAAAACGTGTTGTGACACAGAAAATAACTCGCTTGCGTTCCAAGCTTCGCGTACTTTAATGAAATACGCTTGCATCTAGTATATCCATGATCTCCACGTTGCATATTATTAGAAATAGTTATACCGTTGTATAGGAATTTTCTTCCTTCTCTTAAGAATCTACTGTACTTTATCTTTCCGCAACTTTGACTGTTTTAGCTTCATATATTTTTTTGTTAGCTAGGGAGCTGGCGAGCAAAATATCTATATGTTTGCTCATGTGGCAGATTTTCTTAATTATACGATAGGGAATATTAAGGACCACGTCTGCCACTGGTAGCGCGGCGTTGACAATTGACACCCCCTTCAAAATGTAAAAAAAACCCCTTAACATACGTTTAGAAACCTTGTCATAATGAAAAAATGAAATGGCACATATATATAATTTAAATAAATATATCTGAAATGCACGCTTGGCAGACCTGCAGTGTTCGTTTAAAAACCCTTCGAACGACCGCAGGAAAATAGTCTGCCACCATCGTAGCGCTGCGTTTTCTATTAAGAGCGCTTTAAATGTGTCGACCCAAAAATGTGCTATATCATTTGATGTCTGTCTCTTTGACTGTTGTTTATATTGCTTATAAAAAAACATAAATGAGAGAGACACCTAGGCCACTGATATTCCATTTTGAATGTTATTTATTTGATTTTTTTAGTTTTTCACGTTGTTTTTTCGGATCGGAATTCATATTATGTTCAAGAAATATTTCAAAACAACAAAAAAATTGTCATACTACGAAGAATCGCATTAATTAGTCATAATACTTTTCCTCTGTAATGGTTTAAGTCAGTAAGTAAAATGTCAGCCAATTTTTTTTGTATTCAGGGGCTTCTAATAAATCGAATGGACCCAATTACAGCGAGCAAATGATATCGTAGAGCGTTTTTTTATATTTTTACATCTAACTCCTGTGATAATGCAGAGACCTGGATGCCTTATAGATTTTCCTCGTCATCTTAATGGCATTGATTATTAACCCCAGAGGCAGACACTCGCAAACAATTTTTACATAAACCCCTGTAGCTTAAAACGCAGCAACTACCTTAATTCATTAAGAAAATGTTGTCGAATTGGTCCGAACTTTAAATACGAAATACGAGCAAATCATATACTTAAATGCTCGCCAGCTTATGTGAGAAGAAGTCATCATTTTCGTAAGAGCAACGCTTGTATTTGTATATTAAATATAATCTATAAGTATCTCACAGCTTTGTATCTCTATTTCAGTTATTCAGTAGATTACAGGAAACAGGCAAATACACTACAATTTCTCTTAATAAATTCGCATGTTTATCCCTCAAATAAGTCTAATAAACCATTACAATTCTCTAGATAAATTTACAAACACTTTAGACATAATTTAATTACTATATCAAAGTCATTTTCAAATCTTGAAGCCACTTCTAGTTTTAATTTGAGGCTCACAGCTGGCTATAATGTAATTGGTAGACTTAGAATGATTAATTTCGGCTAAGTTTATATCCATTTAAATTTGAAATTCTCAAATTGTTTGCAAAACCGTATAATTCAATTAATTACCTGAACATCAGTTTGTCCTGATTATATTTACGTAGTTAATAAACCAACTTCGGGGATGAGATTAATACGGCTTATTTTTCTTTATTAATTCGCCGCCTAGGGACAATCAATTATTGGATAAAGTTGGTATATCAGGAGTTATATGGAAAGTTATTATAATAAAACCTTTTACCGCCTTATTAATTAGGAATAAATAAGAATAATTGCATTCTTTTAACTAAAGTACAGTCTCGTCATGACAATCGAAAGAGTACTTTATTTAAAATAATGCAATTAGACGAATCTACGTAAATATAATCAGGATAAACTAATGTTCAGGTAATTAATTGAATTATACAGGGTTAACAATGGATTTACATCATTCATCAATACCAGACGTGTACAAGGTGACATAGTAAATTGTACTAGTCATAAAAAGGAAGAAATGAAGAAGAACCGCGTTTACAGCGTGCGTGGTCACGGTGACCACGCACGCTGTAAAGCACGCGAAACGTCGGATAAATTTAAAATTATGTTAAATAGTTGTAAATTTATAATAATACATAACTTCAATCCGGTCAAAATAGTGTTTTATTAAATGAATAAAAGTTATGTTAATCAAAGACAATACAATGAAGAAGAATGTTAAAAATAAATGACCACTTCATAACAGATTTATACATGGCGTAAACATAACACTACATTAAATTAAAAAAAAAACCATTGATCCCCTTATTTTAATGTCGGGAGGATTTACTTACTGTATGTACAATTGTACAATGTGTATTACGGTCCAAATTAAGATATTATGAAGCAAAATAATTGATAAATATAACAAGTTAAGCTTTGAGGTCATTAATTTAAATATTACATTAATTAAAATATTGAATTATATTGCTTTGTAATAGCCGATGATTAATATTCATAATATTTAGTAGAAAAGAAAAGAAAGATACCTGCAGGAATAATATATTATATTACATACACCACCAAAAGATGACTTCTATTGTCTTTCAACGTTTCGACCTCCTGTATATTCCTATATAGGACAGCTCTCAGCATTACAGCTCTTATTTATTTGATCTCATTAATTATTATATTATTGATAATAGATTTCCTTTTGTCTAATTTTTATATTGATGTCATCTAAATAGAATCTTCAGCTAACTTTATAGTAAATATTAGTAAATATAATAAGGACCTAATATTGCATAATAAACACTACTTATTAGTAAATATTAGGTCCTTACATATGAAATTGGAGTTTTGTCGTACTGGCCACTTGAACCTCAAATATCTCCTCTTTGCTAAGGAATTCCAAATTCAATTTTTCACAGCTATGAAATATCTAATATCATAATGTAAAAAAAAAGTATTTTTGGAAGCGGCTAGGCAATTTACAATTGGTTGCTTAGTTCGTAAATAAGATCCACATAGTGAGAAGATTTATTTGGTGTCCACATTAATTTATCCTTTATTAGAAACAGACGGTGTGTTTACCTTTTATACTGTTGTTTGAAAATACTCTACAATTTCACGATTAAGATCTATACTCATTACTCATACTACATTAAGGTTTTATTAAACTAAAACAATGAACAACAAAATTCGCTGATTTCGTTAGGTTAAAGTGACATATACATACATACACACACAAGTTCCAATCTTGGCATGACAGTGATTAATCGGATCCCTAAATCAAAACAAAGTGGCGACATTACCAACTTTTATTAGTCCAACATCGTCCATCCTTATTTAGGCACTGAAAACTCTGAAAGAAGTTATTAGGGGACGCAATTTCCGGAAGCCATTATTCATTTCTGGTAAATCCTCGTATTGTTGATTAAAGGAGTCCTGGGAATATTCAGTCTGTGCTTTGGAAGCTAGCCCCTAAACACAAAATGAGCTTTGTTCTAACAAGCTTTGTTCTGAGCACAATAGATGTGAATTATTTACACCTGATAAATTGGCTTTTATGTCATAAGTTTAAATGCTATGTAATTATACGTAAATATTTAATTTTAACTTTCTTACTAACTGATTTGAAACTGATCTTAAATTAAATTATTATGATTCATGTGCGCTAATTATTTTTTATATTTCATGTATCCTTTATTAGTTTAGTTTATTTTTTTGTTCCTGTTTAGTTTTTCTTCTTAATAACTATATGTAATATGTATTTTTGCACTTCTTGCCTACCTTATCTAATTTAATATATTCTTTTTCTTTTTTTACAGTGGTTGCCAGGGAGAGATCGCTCGAAAGCGATAAGGCCGCCAGTTGCCCTGCCCTCCTTTACATTTAATTATGTTAAATTTTTATAGTGTAATGCAATGAAGTGTAAATAAATAAAATAAAATAAATAAAACATATTAAATACGTAAAAATTATAATTTTTACTATACGTAGAAAATACAAACTCAAGACTAGTACTAAGATAAAATACCCGTTTAAATTAAAGCAATTTCTCGTGTAAAATGAATCGCCAATAAACAGCTGATAGGTCAAGTTCGTGAGCCTGGTGCGATGTATGACCTCAGTATTGTAAAAAAAAATCGTATACAATTAAACCATTTATTGCAAGACTGAATTGATTTCAAACGGCAGAACAAACAATTTCAGTAAACGGTTTCGGTTTTAAATTATGCCTTATTTTTGTCTGATATCAAAAAAAGCAACATCTAAATATCTAGAACGGAACCACTGAAACAAAACAGGCACGTAATTACCTCGTATCACGGTAATTCAATATTAAAGGCATCCATTGCCCGGAGATTGTATGATTTCAAATTTAAATCTCCTCTTAAACCCTCTGAAATATTTTTGCAATTTGTCACGAAGTTGTCTCTCGGAATACTTCGTGATATTGTTAGAAATTTAAGGGCACGTCCCATACACCAAATAATCTGAAGCTTTAGAAGTTACTTTGTTGTCCCTCACAATAAAACTTTCTGAATCCCACATCCGAGCGCTTGTTGAAAAGACAAATCAATAATCGTTATTACGAGTTACTATTCATTTAGTTCTAACCATTAATATAGGTATAAATAGATACATATTTAAATATCGTTACAGCTACTTTTACTTTTGTTAGTGATTTGACCTTTGTATATCTGTAGCCTCAAATAGTTATGTTACAATCAATTGTTCGCCGGAGATGGTTCGTTTTTTGACAATTGATGGTTTTGTGTGTGGTAGATACAAGGTATTTATACTTTAACTTATGCAAGTGTGGGTAACATTGGTAGCTAAGGGTAACAATAATTATGATAAATCTGTGGAAGATTTATCATTCAAACTGTCATTCAATCTGTTGTAGACGGATGCTCCGCTCCGGCTGTTATTATAAGTACCAGTTACAGGTTAGTCAAACACAGTTTTGATTGTGTCGTAATAAATATATGTTGTATGTTAAACGCTTATTATAATATTAAAAACTTATATTCAATACTCGTGATACTAAAATCCTTTCAATTTAACTGTCGTATGGGCATGCATCAACCAAAATCATTTATTGAAGTCAGTTGCACTTATTCGTTTTTAAAATTTCAGGGTTTTACGCGTGACATTTATTTATACACATTTATTTTTACGTAAATTACTAAGTAACAATAATAATAATAGCGGCTTCGTAACTCATGATTTCAAAATGCTGTACATTATAATGCTCTTGAATTCTTAGTTAAAATTTTAGAACTACACTGTAATAAAAAACACAGCCAATGTAGACACACTACATACTTTTATATCGTACAAAGCATTCATTTAAATTTATTTCAAGATCGCAAGATAATTGACAATCAACATACCGACAATAGGTCGTCGGAATAGTCGCCAAATTGGATTCCATCTTCAATTCGGTATGACAATTTTGATTGGCTAGAGCTTATTCAGTAGTCTGTTATTGACAAGTTCTAGAAGCCAGTTTAGACTAGTTGTGAATTATAAAAGGAAGATTGGTAATTGAGCCTTACGTCGACCTCAATTCCTCATAATCAGTCATGCTTACATGCATTGTGTTCCACTGTATCGAATTACTAGGTTTGCTTGAATTTCCATGTATCAAAGGAAAGGGTAAAATTACATTTAAGCTTAATGTATAATAAGTATTGGATACGCATTTGTTGCAGTACGCTTTAACGGTTGAACTAATTCTGATTAATTGTAGTATAAATATACGGAATATTTTAATTTAATTATTTATTTATAGGAGTGTTGTACTGTTGTCCTAACAGGTGACTCTAAATTTACAGACGAAACAAAATACAAACTTAAGAAATTACTTAGAAAAAACAAAATTACATAATCAAAAATACAAAAAATTCACTAAATACTATAGGCACTAACAAATAATAGAACTTTTGTCAGTTCACTCAACGGACAATGAAAAAGGTCCGTTCACCTATGTAATTCGTTAACTAAATTTATACAGATGCAGGGGCGTAACTATACCATCTGGGGCCCGTTGCAAATTCTTTTGATGGGGCCCTATCAGTAAAAATCTACACGTTGTACTACTCAGTTTAATTTTAATAAACTTCGTAAAAACAAGATTTTCAGCGTACTCAATTACACGTTGTATATGTCCCACTAATGGCCATAGGCCTTCTCTCTTAGGCGAGAGGGAATGGTCTGTAGTCCCCACGCTAGCCCAATACGTATTGGAGTCTTCACATTCATCCCTAGAACATAATATCTCTTGGTCAGGGGCCCTCTTGGGTCGGGGGCCCGTGGCATTTTGCCAGGCCCTGCCATCCTATTCTTACGCCACTGCACAGATGACAACAAATATTGAAAGGATTGTGTAGGTGGCCTGTAAATAATAAATCCAACCATATTGAATAAACGAATGTTTGAAAAGACATAGGCTATTTATTTACCGACTTTAAGCTTTAAATGATATTAATGTTAACAATTCAAGTGCAGTTACAAATAAACCTTCAACAAACTGTGGACCATAAGTCCGTAATTGATTTTACTCTACCGTCGCCGTACCGAAACAAACACCAACGAGTAAATTTAACCACAATCGTGAAAATACGACTCGTTCTCGCTATTTATATATTGAATTAAATGACCAGTACTTTTACTTATCTCAGTTAAGGAACTCTAGGCATCAAATTAAAGCTTTATTAATTAATCGATACAATAATTGTTTCGTTTACATTTCTTATTCTACGTTCTAAAAATTAAGATTATAAGTATTTCTATAACCCCTATTAGGCTAAAGGCTCTTAGGCATATAAATATTTTGTAAGGAACATCTTAAAATTAAACACATCTATTACTCATTAAATAACAATATAGCTCTATGTTTTCATCGCCCTATTTTTTCCTCAAATCCCAGCCAATCCAGATCAATAGATTTCAAGTCACTATAGGTAGCAGGAGCAGTGTTGGCCTAGTGGCTTCAACATGCGACTCTCATCCCTGAAGTCGTAAATTCGATCCCGGCTTCATCAATAACTCTCATCAACTTTCTTTCTACGTGCGCAGAAAACATCGTGAGGCAACTGGCTTGTCTTAGACTCAAAAAGTCAACGGCATGTGTCAGGCACAGGAGGCTGATCACCATTGATCACCATTCATTGAATGATTATGAACCAGTTACCAGATACAGAAATGTGAGGCCCATACCTATAAAAGGTTGTATTGCCACTGTATTTAACTTTTTATATTATGTAAAGAACCTCCTTTTAAAGTTGGTTAAAAGCAATAAAAGCTCTTACTAATAATAAATAAACTTTATCTACGGTATACGTTCGGAACGTTTTAATTAAGGGAATGGTTCACAAATGGATTAGTCTGGGACACGTTCGATTGACTGGCTTGTGGCCAGTTTTATTCGTCCACTGAGGGACATTTACGCATACCTTGAAATCCCGTAATGTTGAATAGCAAGGGTTGGAAAATTCGATTCACCATGTAAACGTGGGTTGTCATACGAGGGGCAGAATGGCATACAATTAAAATTTATGGCATATGATTTTTTATGTGCAACTTTAAAGACTTCAATAAAGTACAGCTACCAACTACCTTTTCTAGAACAATCTACGATCCCTAGCAATTGCGACTGGTATTTTATAAGATAATATGAACAGGCATAGTGATAATTACTTAGTCAACATACAATAATAAATAACATACTATAGTCATACTGGCTCACAACTTGCTATTTCCTTAGGTATTCGTAATATCTAATTATATCACATATAATTACTAACATACCTGTTATGCGCATTGAAGGTGAGACGCAGGGGTGTGGAGCGCGGGGGAGGAGGCGATGCGGACCTGCGCTTGCGCAGCGCCAATGGCTGGTACTCCGCAGGCTGCCAATGTCGGACGAAGGGCGATAGTGACATCCCTGAAAAAAAAAATATCATAAGGTAACCAATTACAATTTTTTTCTTGTAAGTGCGCTCAAATCCATTGAAGATAACTAGATACTGCGTATTTTTCTCTGATACACTAGATTCTAGATTCTGATGGGTGAAAAATAGCGCTACAACCTTTCAACCTTTGGCTTCAGATTTCCGTATCTGTTTTGTGAAATATTTGCGTATTTAAAAAAAAGCATCACAGTAGGTGATCAGCCTTCGGGGTCTGACACACGCCGTCGATTATGTATAAGGCATGCCGGTTTCCTCGAGATGTTTTTCTTCGCCGTACGAGCTGTTAAATGCGCAAAAAATCGATTCAGTTTCGTTCCGAAAAGAGACGGTGAGGTCGTATATGGTCTATCCTGGCTTTGCACCGAATTTATATGTAAAAAAAAAATCTGTGGCGCTACCTTTTTAGGTCTGGGCCTTAGGTTTCTGTATCTGTTTCATGATCATTTGTTAATAGGCAAGCAGGTGTTCAGCCTCCTGTGCCTGACGTCTAAGGTAAGCCGTTTCCTCACGATGTTTTCCTTCACCGTTCGAGCGAATGTTAAATGCGCACATGGAAAGAAAGTCCATTGGTGCACAGTCGGGGATCGAACCTACGACCTCAGGGATGAGAGTCGCACGCGGAAGCCACTAGGCCAACACTGCTCTGAATTATATGTATGTGCACAAATTATACTCAATGAATACTAACGCAAACCAACTACTCTTTAAAACAATCCCCACAGACCCCATTTGTTTCTGGATTACATACTCATTATATATTAACCACGTTATTTATGTATTAGTGCAGAATTAATAGATTCAATTGGTATAAAATTGGTTGCACAAATTGATATTACTGAGCACTTAATCTGTCAATTCGCTTCATTATACGTATTTATTATGTATTTGCATTGAGTTTCCATGCGAAATTATTTAGTTTAATAAAGCTTTGAGTCTAAACACATATATAATGATACTGGTCTGTAGGGCGTAGAGTATAGAAATATTCTAGTTTCAAAAAGGTTTGAAAACTTTTTTCTCTGCAATATTGACAATTTTATGGACAAAATTGTTTTAAAATCAAATTAGCAATCCCTTTTTCTAATATATAAACTTAAGATTTTTTTTGTCTCTAAAACTGCACATGTTAAAATTAGGGAAATCAGATACTTATGAAAATATGCTAATGTCACTTACGTGTTGGAAAATGACATGAGAACTTAAGAAAGCACAGCGCAAATATCACAAATTCTACACAATTTTCGGTTCCGTTAGAGGATTTCGGGACTATACACACACACACACACACACACATAGACTACTCGGACTTTTCTATTATCTATATTCCGCATGACAGCCACGGCTAACACGCACGTTAGCTACACTTGTTTTGCCACATTTTTAATCTGTAGAATGTTCTAGTGTAATCAAATCATTAAATTTTTCGATTAATATTTGTCGGAAAAACATTGTTCGGTTAATGTCTTAACAGTTTTCACGTTAATTCGTACTTTCCTAATGTAAGCTTTGCGTTTCTTAAGGTAAATAAAGTTCATTTATCATTTCATTGCATTTGCATACTTCGCCTAATTGTATTTGAGCGAAATTTTACACGCTTTTGTTGATTGAACGACACAACCTAGACCTCCAAACCAACTCTCAGTAAAACATTGCTTTTCCCGGCTTCTGAGTTTACATAGAAAGCTCGCCTAATCCGGACTTGAAATTCAGTCGCAAACAGAAATTATTTATTAACGATTCATTCAGGTAGCTTTGAATTTGCATAATGCGATCGTTAGACCACAGCCTTTCCGGATTTTTAATTAAAATTTCCGAAACAGCGTTCGAATAAATCAGTTTGATTGATGGAATTTTAATAACTTAAGTGCGTATAATTATTTTCCAATTACAAGGATCTTAGGTTTCAGTACAGGTATACAGTTAACGCGGAATTTCTACATTTATCTACCAAATATACTACAGAATATTGGCGACTATTTCTTGGCGACTTCCTATTAAATAAATAATGCAATCAAGGTGTGATTGCACTTCGTTGCATACAGAAATATAATACAATTGACATAATTTAATAAAAAGGAGGGCAACTGGCGGCTTTATCGCTTTCGAGCGATCTCTTCCAGGCAACCACTTTATCATCTTTACAATACGTCTCTCTTTAAGTTGGGATTTTTTTTAATAAGAGTTGGACCATTATGTCTGTCTGCTTGAATTAAGTTATCTTTAATTTACTTATTTTTACAGAAAACTTTGTTATTTTTGTGTTTTAAGTGTTTCCGGATCTTAGGGTAGGGCCGTTTAAGAAAAGAGCGTACCAATTCTTAAAAAGTTCGGCAATTTCGTGCCCTCTAGCAATGTGAGTATTGATGGGCGGAGGTATCACTTAACATCAGATAAGCCTCCTGCTGTTCTATATGAAAAAATATTATTAGAAGATTTTTAAGCAGCATATCATCTATATAACTCGAAAACTCCATCCAAATCTCCCCCAAAAACGCGTGTCGATATAGTATTTCATTAAAAGGAAAATCCAATTTTTTGTCCATAAATAAAACTAAATTTTAACTATGTCTAATAGGCACAAATGATAATATTGTATCGTTAAATCTATTAATTACCAGACATTAAATACCTTGCGGTGGATAATCCGGCTAAACTTTTTATCCCATCAAGGACATGAAAATCCAATACAGGTTGACTGAAGGCAAACACACTTAATAGGACTCATATTTTTACTTCCGGACTAAAATGAACATCTAAAAACACAGCTACAAAACGACCCTACTACAACATAGATGCAGCGTCTATAAAATACTCGTAAAATGCACGAACACATTTTACGTGTGTATGCAAAATTTATGAGTTTGCCCTAAAAAGGCTTGCTTTCAAAGTTTACAACTAGTGCAGGTTCAGAGATTTCTAAGTGCAATATTTATATGAGCCGGAGGTCTAATTGGAAAGTTGTGTTCTTAATCTCAAGAGAGCACGGAAGAAGTTAGATCAGATGGTAATAATTGTTATCTACCGATGCAGTATTTTATTTAAAAAAATCAAAATCATTTATTCATATAGGTAACACAATGTACACTTATGAACGTCAAAAAAGATATATATATATTAAATGCTTCTAATTAAACATTTACTGCCAGTTATTAAATCAAGGGCGTAGAACGGAAGAGAAGAACTGGCGATAAACTCTCCGCCACTCTTAATCGCCAAGTTTTTTGTTTTACACCGCATTTGTAAGGAGCTGCAACCATTACACCATGTTACACATGACATCTTAAGTAATTAATAGTTAAGTAGTTAGTAAGATTTGTCTTCTAGCAGGAGGCATAGTGAAATAGGAGCTCGCACTTACATTCTCGAGGGAACAACACGCATATTATAATGTAATATAAAATCATGCATTAAAAATTCAAAATTTTAATTTTGTGAGACATTCTTTTACGATTTTTTTTTAAATCTAATTATAATTATCGGTCGACGCTTATCAAATCCCACTGTCAAAGGTACAGCTATGTATACTCGTATATGTCAACTTCTTCCGGGTGCCTAAAAAGGAATGAAAAGGTTCAATATCCTAATGTAATATGTTAAAAAGTAAAATATATTTTAAAATTACGTTGTTTAACGTTTTGTAGACAATAATATTGCTGAATTTATTTATTTAAAGAAACAAAACACCAAAAACAACAACAAGAAGTCCAGCAACGCAATTGCAAACCTCCCAGTATCGCAGGTGTCCATGGGCGGCCTGCTCGTTTGTCTTGTTTCATAAAGAAACAAATGTACACAAATGCGTTTTTTGCTTACTTTAGATATAAATAAAATATGAAAATGTTTAGGGATGAAATATTTCAATAAAACTTCCGTATATATTAGCGAAAGAATCGAGTCCACATGGAACTCGGGCGGAATTCAGAGTGTATAATTTTTCGCACCATTTGTTGTCGGACGTGCGACGCCGTCAGCGTGTGAAAACGTGCCTTACGTTTACTGGCCTGCAAATTCCGAAAATATTATTGGGACACTATTTCCTTAAGCGTACAGGCATCTCGTAAAAGAACAAAGTCGGCGATTAAAAAGACTGGCGAAGAGTTACAGTATGACTGTTCTACGTCTTTAATTTAAGAACTTTTTACTTCCGCTCTTTCATTGCCAGTTAACTGTTTTTATGGTCGTAAGCGACCTACCTGACTTCTTAGTAACCGTTGGCAATACAATAACACAAGTGTTCCATCTATAATACATATATAAAAGGCTACTATTCGATACATCCTAATTCTTGACATAAGGACGTGACGTGAAACTTGCAACTTAAACGAAAAGCTAGACACAATTGAGAATGCTAATAAATTAAGTTGCCCACGAGTATAAGTTCGCGTTGAAGTTAGGTTCGAATGAGCTTCAATTTTATTAATTAGATTCACAGAAAGTTTATTATATGACGATACATAAGATGAATTGAATCCGAAAATAAAGAATAAAACTTATTTGAGGAAATCTTTCCACCAATACTGAATTACTCTACCTATTTATCGCTGAATAAACAAGCAAGGATTGGATTTAAATGTTGAGAATTCTTTTACCAAGTAGAAAGTTCAAATGCAATTCGCAAATATGAAAGAAACGCCTCAAAGGTTGCGGTGGCTATTCAATGAACAAAGAGCGTGTAGAGCTTCCGTAACTCGTATTGAAGAGAATTTACGTTTATTAGAGCAACTTGGAGATCGATAACCGACTGAGGTTTAATGAATACCGCTTGAACGCTTATTAGCCGCAGTGCTGACTCCGAGAAAAAGGTTAAATGAAAACTAAGAGGATTCCGCCTTGTCAGCTTAACAAGTTCCGGATTAGTTTCAATGATTTTAAACTTAATTCTTCGCGATAAATGTACTGAATCTTTATATCGCGGTAAACATTGGTCTAATACGTAGTCAGTCTGCGTTAAAGTGTACATGAATAAAACC